TTAAATTGTCATTTTAACTAAGGATATTGCTTTATACAAAGTTAAATTGCAAAGCGGACCCCAAATACTTGGGATGTCATGACTTGTTATATGTAATGTGCACTTTGAAACAAGGTTAGCACAAAACTCGACAATTCTGATACAAGTGCCAAAATTGAGTGTGCAGTTCCTGTTTAGAGAGTTACACTATTTCCTTAAATCTCATCAATCTCATAAACCTGAACAGTATAAATCTGTAAGGTAATAAATTATATTCTAAAAGGTTCCTTATTCTAATGGCAAGGATAAAGAGGCTCAATGGGCTCCCTGATGCAAGTAACAAGTTATTGGGACTTGGGAGACACCACAGCCATAGGCATCTAGCATTCTAGCAGGCCCTGACTGATTTACATGGCCAAAATGGAAATTAAAAAAGCATAGTCCTAAAAGCAAAAGTTCAGTCCGTAAAAGGAAGCAATCATTTCTACACTAACATGATACGAAGTGTCTGTTGATAGCATGTTTAATTAAATCATACACCTGTTGATAGCATGTTTAATTAACTCATACACAATATATACTAAATGAACAAGAAACTGTAGAATTGACTTACCGGATGGCGGAATGAACATTTGGGATTGAGGCAGTTACCATTTAACCAATACCAGCAATCCCTGGGGTTAATTCTGGCACCCTCACTATGACGATACTCACATTCACTCCCCTGAATGATGGAAAACTGTTACATTTTAGTTTGAAATATGATTATAAAAATTATACATCTATAAAATTATGAAAAAAAGATGTCAATCCCAGTATTCTGTGCATATACATTTCCGCTTACAGAAAAATCAGCAACAAAAACAATCAACAAATTTATGTCAAGGAAAAGAGAAATATAAGGGGTTTTTTGTAGAGCAACTATAGAGATAGAGAATCCACAGGTCAAGATATCAGACCATATACAATAGGGTTAAAATATTTACTAAGGTAGAATGAGTTCAATATATGTGTGATATAAACATAATTGTTAGTCAATGCATGGATCACATTTAGGGGCGGATTTTTTTATAGAGCAACTATAGAGATGGAGAATCCACAGGTCAAGATATCAGACCATATACAATAGGGTTAAAATATTTACCAAGGTAGAATGAGTTCAATGTATATGTGATATAAACATAATTGTTAGTCAATGCAAGGATCACATTTAGGGCGGATTTTTTTATAGAGCAACTATAGAGATAGAGAATCCACAGGTCAAGATATCAGACCATATACATTAGGGTTAAAATATTTACTAAGGTAGAATGGGTTCAATATATATGTGATATAAACATAATTGTTAATCAATGCAAGGATCACATTTAGGGCTCCGCCGAGAAGTTATGTTGAGCTACTAGCAACAAGATTAAAGATGAATATTTTAATGCAAATAAAAACCTAAGAAACTTCTGTACTTCACAAGAGCACACAACAAAAAAATCCTTCTTGAAACTTTTGATTACTGATCACACCCTTCATGACCCAAATCTGAACCACCAACTGCAGTGAGATTTATAAAACAAAAGCTTCATCTTTTTGTCTGCTTGGCCCGGAATCATTTATTCATATTTCCTAAAATTTGGAGATTAATACTTAGTGCACTTCATAAGGCAAGCAATTACACATCAAACTATAGCTACCAAGGGACCCTTCCAATTCACCCATCAAAATTCAAAGCTTGCTCATAAGCAACCATTAACAGCCAATAGAAAAAAAAACATTACTACGAAGAACATATGCAGCACAAATTACTTACTTCTCAATGCTATAAAAGTAGTCCATGATTAACACTTTACACGGGCAAGTACAACAAAAAATCTATTTCATCAACACCAACTTCTTTTTTACAAACTCAAATTTTATGCCTTCAATTAAGAGAAGTTTGCTGATGCCGTTACCACCAAACAACCAAACAAGAGACCAATACCATGATCTCAAGCAACCACCAACAGCATAATGTTTCCACAGCACCAAAAAAAACTCTAGGTTTCGACCAAGCGCCGACCAGGGTTTATAGAAAACGCAAAGAAAGACATACATATCAGCCGAAAAGAACGAACACATACAGGCTGAAGCAAAAAGTTTGCAACTTTACCAGCATTTAAGAACTTGAAATAATAGAAGAAACAAGAAAAGTAGGAAATCCACCTTCTTGCAGGTCAATGGTGACGCCAAGAAATAGACGCAGTCGGTGCTTCCTTTCACCGCCTCCTCCTCCGCCGTAGCCGGCCTGATCGATTCACGCCCGCCGTCAGATTCCATCTCCTAACTGCCTAACTACCTCCCGGCAACAAAAACGAGATAACCTCCGGGCCAAATTCGAAGCTTAGGGCACAGGGCAGAGATACACGCAGATCTAAGGAACGGATCGGGGCATGAAACGCGACGATCAAGATGAGAGAATCGAAACAATCAATGGTGAGGAGTCTGTGATTTCAATGCACAGGCGACAAGCTATCAGCCCCAGGGTTTCGGTCGTTCAAGGAAGTACGTCGACAGATATCGCTGCCGTCGCGGGGGAGAAAGGGAGAACTTCACCGTGCTTTCCCTTTTATCCCTCTTCCGCTAAACTGAAGAATATGATTTGACTGAAAAAGACGTATAGCATATAGATACCATGGAAAAGCCACTAACGTTGTATGAGAGAGTGGCAGTCAGTAATTAAATAGATAAGCGGGGGCTTTTGTGACATGTTTCCTAGTGACCGTCAGATCTAATCGGAATCTGATCTAACGTTACTGTGTAAGAGTATTACTTCGTAATTGACAATATTTGCGGTTCCTGTGATGTGATCACATCGCTCACGACTTTTAAAGCCGTCTTCACTCGCTGCCTATACATGTAACGAGTATCTACTGTGATAACAATAATAATAAAATAGTAAGTTCTAATTATTTGAGTTTAATTAATCTTTTACTTTCATTGAGATCTATAAAAAATACATATTTAGCTTAATTTTTTATTCATATTTTTTATTAAATTTTTTTTATCTTTCTCATTATAGTACTAACATTAATTAATTTATTTATCTTGATAATATCATTCATATTCTTCTCAAATCCATACTATCTTAAATAATTTCTTCTTATTTTATTCTTTATCAAAATGATATCTAATTAGTTACAAATAAAAATATTTTTTAATATATTTTTTAATAACTTTATGCATCTATTTAAACATTGGCATCTTCTGAACACAAGGTTTTTGTATATTTTTTTTAACTACCTACTCAAATTCATAAAATTTTATTTATCTCATAATGTCTTATAATTTTATTTATTTTTTAATTTCAAAAGAGATATATTCAACCTTTTACTATTAAAAGAGATATATTCAACAATTTCAATGTTATAAATATGATATTTCACAAGACACGAATAACATTTATTCATTAGATAAATAAAAAATGAGATTATATGAATGGCCAATGTAAACCCTATTACCTAAGGTTTAAACATGTATATTTTCCATATCATGGTCAAGTGAAATCCCAAGGCGTGTGAGTCGAAAAAACTTGACTTACATCAACTGAAATCTATTATGATGGAAGCGCAAAGTGAAATATGTCATATGCTTGTAAATTAGTAAAACCCAACATATGCCAAGAGAAATCTACTACGATATAAGCACCGGGTGAAATATACTCAAAACATATGAATCGAGAAAATCTAACCCATATCAAGAGAAATCCATCAGAGGCAAAGGTCCAAATGTGCCTAAGTGTGTGAGAAAAAAAACCCGACCCTTACCCAACTAATGTGTATCTTTTTAATGTCATAAAGGGACAAGTTGGCAATGTACCTATGAGATGAATTAAACATCACACTATAGAACCTTCTAACAAGAGTCTTGAAGTATGCTAAGGGAGGAGAAACAAATTATGAGAAATATATTAACAGTTAATCATCATATGATATATAATCATCATGTAGAAGCTATTATGGAAGGAAAAGGTTCAGTCCACCCTTCACCCATCTGCTTGCACGGGTAATAGTCCAACGTAGGTCGTTCGAAGCTATCTCCCTGTCGGCCACATGAACAAAACACGAAGAGGGGGGATATTAGGGTCGTTACAGATTATTCGTTCTAAGGCCATGTATAAATGCTAATGCCTAGCACTAAGCCATTGGGCTCACTTTCTAATAAAAATTCACATTAACCGAGAGACCTCAGTCACTAACTTAAACCTCAAAATGATCATGTCAGAAAAATTTTCATGACATTAGTTTTAATACAAGTGGCACCTCTGAAACTTAACAAATTATAAGAAAAAATTTATAAAGATGATTGTTAAATGAACAATAGCGATCTATTATAGTTAAAAAATAACATATAAAAAAACTCATGTTTTTAAGAAAAAAAAGTTAGGATAGAAGTATAAAAATAAGAATAAATCGCTTAATGTGATATGAATATGTATTAAGAAAATATAAAAATATTATTGTTAAAAAAGGTAATATAATTAGTATATTTCGAGCTCTTCTTATTATTTACAATTTTCTTACTATTCATAATTTATTAAAAATTAATAAAATAAATATTTTATTATTCATAATATTTCATTTTTACTCCTTTTCTTTTTATTTTTTTTCTTCCTCGTAGCCTTTGCTCATACACTCTATAAAGCATGAAACATGAGAGCTTCCAAGTTAATATAATTGACATAAAAAATAATATCTTCTGGATTATTATAAAATATATATAATCTTAAAAATATTAAATTATTATAATAAATATCAAAAACTATTTTTTACCCTCTTCTCTTTTATACCATATTATCATCTATTTTTATTTTATATATTTTTAAAATAATTAAAAAAAAGGAGGAGGAGAAAAAAGAGAAGAAAAGAGATTTATAAATAAAGAAATAAAAATTATTAGGATCAAATTATAAATTAAAGACGTATACATATATTTATAAAAGAATAATTTAGATATTAAAATTCATGCAATTATTTCCCATTCGTATCCTCGTCTCGAGCCGTTGACTCGGTTCGTAAACGATTCTTTGGCTTCGCCTCCGCTCGCGCTTCGCCCGGGCACGCTCTTCCCCCTTCATTCGCCGGGCACGCCTCTCCGGCCGTCCCGATGGCGGATCGCGTGGCGGACCACGTTGAAGCTCTCGTGCGCTGCCTCTCCCTCCACCTCAATCGCAAGGTCACCGGCGTCATCGCCGTCCTCTTCAACCACCAGGTAACGAGTGATACGTGGCAATCCACGCACCCGCCCTTTTCCCCCAAACCCTAACAGGCTTGCCTAAACCCAACCGAATTTCCCGTTGATTTGCTCCTCCAAAATCTAGGGCGCGGGTTCCCTCGGGGCCATCGCCGGCTTCGCGATCGCCGTCTTGTTCGCCTGGAGGTTCCTGAGGCCGTCGCCGGGTCGACGAGCGAGCGATCGGCGGAAGCGCGGGGCTGCTCCGTCCACGAGTCGACTGGCGGGCGGGTTGGAGCCTTCCGGATCGCGAGGGCTCGTGCCCACGGGGCCATCGAACGACACGGTTGCCGTTGAAGCGATTACTTCTCCAGCTGAGGTAGATCTCTCGGTATCGTCTTGAGGAATCGGTTCTGCGGTTCCTAAGTCTGGCTGAGGCTTGCTAAAGTTTGACCTTTGTTTTGATTTGGATATCTGAAGCTCTCTCTCGGAAAAACTGTGAAGCAGAGACTTGGTGGATGCGGAAAGGTATGTGATGGGAACAGAAGGGTGAAATCATTCCATTTTTTGTATGGTGGAGTATTTATGTTTCGTTTTGTTGTCTTCCCTTTCATATGCTTGAATGACATGATTGTTAGGAGCATTCTGCATATTCTAAGTATGGCTTGTGATTCGACATTAACTTCTGTTGTTACTCATGATCTCATTGTGTTGTATAAGATAATCGGCTAGATTTAGTGTTGAAGTTTATGTCAATGCCTTGTAAGGTGCTTATGGTATAACCTGACCAAACCGTTTGCAACTCCTTCCCTCGGCTGGCACCTTTCAGAAATGATATTGAGCTGCTACATGAACTCCATGAACCAACTTTTAAGGCAATCAAACATAAATTAACATACATAAAACAGACCCCAACATGACCCCTTAGGGTTAGTCCCACACCGAATGTGAGAGGTCAATTGAAATTGGTTTATAGGGTTAAAAGTGGGTCTTGAGTTTAAGCATTTTGGACCAGCGATTCAAGTTCATCAAGTTAATAAGTTAATTATCCCATCTAGACGGCCAGGTAGTAGCACTGAAAAAAGAAGCTAAATCTCAACATAAATCAATTTATCAACGTAAACACCTATTATCAAACCTATGGTGGAATAAACAAGACACTAAAAGTTAAACCAAGTGATGTGATGATCCCCCCTGCCAAGTTAAATTACCCAGAGAGACTGCATTTTATTTTTATCTATTGTATCTTAAATTGTTTGTATTATCTGTTATGGGGCTTTTCTTGTCACACTTATGGACAGTTAGTAGCAGTTTTAGTTTCTACATTTAAGCATTTTAGTTTTTCATGACCTCTTCCCGTTGTGTCTCTGCAGATTACTTGCCAGCTGCTCGGTGTTATCCTGGAGGAGAAAACTCCTGAAGAGCTTCAGGTTAAAGATAGATTGTACCTTGGTGACCTTTTTACCTATCCTAGACTGATTAAGGGATAATATGAATACTATTTTTGCAGAAACATGCTACTGTCAGGTTGTCGGTGCTGCAAATAGTCGAGGAAATTTCTAAGTATTTTGATCTGTTTTTAATGGAAACAGTTCTTGACGATGAAAGTGAGGTAAACAATGTTTAAGTTGTCTTTTATTTCATCCACCTCTTTCTGATTATGGATAAATGTTATTTATTGATCAAGGCTAGTGCTACAGTATTTTCTTATAAATGTCACTCCTAAATAATATGGCTACAAGATTGATTATTTTCTCTATTGATCAGCCTACCTCTGAAAAGTTTGCAATGGATTTGAACATACATTTGTTTTCTCAAAACTTCTACTTCTAAACATAGAGTGTCCAGAAAAAAATATTGTTAACACGGTGCATGCCACTTATTGCTTCATCATCAAGTTTTGAACCAGTTAAAATTTTTATTTTCTGTGAACTCACATTTGCAGGCTACAATTCAGTTAGATTGAGAGGAAAAAGAAATTGATAAGTTTGATGCCAACTGCAAAACAATTTGATCTGTTTAAATGGATACTGCATGGTGTTTTGCAGAATGAAATGCTAAAAACAGTTCTATAATTTGTATCACTTGTTTGTATTGAAAAGAATAAAACTAAATAGGTATTTCTCCTTTCAGAACTTCCGTTTTCTCTCATTAGAGCATCTTTCCTTTTTTATGTGGTTCATCATGTGTAGTTAATTGGATTTTCAATTATGTTCTATGTCATAAGAGTAAATAAAGATATGCACACCTGATTACCAAGAATTATCAGAAAATTTTACTTTTGTTTTTTATATTTTCAGGTAGCTAGTTTTTTTTTTTGTATACAAACACATTCACCATGGCAGAGCTTTTTTTAAAATATAGTTTTTGTAAAACATATATTTCTTCTATTTATGTGAATAAGTCTTTTGTTTCAGGAAAAAGTTCTTTCAGCTCTTGAGAATGCTGGTATATTCCAAAATGGTAGCTTGATCAAGGACAAGGTATACTGGTTTTAGTGATGAATCTATTTCATACTTTGCTCAGATCATTGATCTTTCCCTGTTAAGTCATAGTTGTAGCTTTTCCATGTCATATTAAGTAAGTCATCGTTGTAGTTTTCCCAGGAAAGGTATAAGAAGATTTTGGGTTTAGGAATTGTTGGAGGTGTGCAAGATGAATGGATTAATTCAAGATTCCATATCAGCCTTCATAACAGATACCGTGGATCCTTTTGACTCTTGGTGAGAGAGCTTCATATGGGGTGTATATGGTTGATTCTATGACCATGGTAGATTACCAAATTTGGTTACGAGAGGCATTTCAGCAAAACACTCCAACCAGTTGGGGTATCTAGTGAACAAGACAATCCTAGAAATGAGCTTATTTGCTTATGTTAGAACAAGGGAATTCACTTAAATGGTTTTTAGTTCCTCAAACTTTGGAAGTGTTTGATGGAATATTAGCTTATTTTTCTGTCAATATAACTTCACACTATTTGATTTGACAATGAAGGTTAATTGAATAGAAAGAGCTTTTAAAATGCTGAGAAGGAATACTTGGCACCCTAAGGACATTTTGATGCATTGGAGTTCAATAACCAATGCCACGTAAAAGGAAAGTGTAATGTTGATAAGAGGAACAATGACTTCTAGTGATGCTGTAGTATGAAGAGGGCTTTAACAGCTTCTGTTGGCTAGGACTTTATGTGCATCCCATCTTAACTTGACCACGATGTAAATTCATGGTTGAGAGGCAAACGGTGTTTATCGACTTCTGGTTTAGGGGAGTATAAGGAAGAGAGCTAGCCTTTCGATAGTTTAATATTGTGCACTTCAATCATTCTATTCTGTGAACTGTCTATAGTACAACTTTCTCTTTTCCAGCTCTCACAGTCCTTTTATTGTCTATAGTTTGTGCTTGAACTTGTTAAAAGTTCAGTATGTTTCTTCTCTTTTGAAGTCGAACCATATTTTGCTATTGAACCATTTCCCAGGTCCTCTTTTGTAGCACCGATATTGGGCGAAAATCTTTCGTCCGACAATTGGAGGCAGATTGGCATATCGATACAAACCTGGAAATAATATCTCAGCTTTCGGTAAGCTCCTTGCTTTGGTATTCATATCGTATTCCTAAAAAGAAAATCCGGTTCCTCTTCTGCTGACATGTAGATGAACCAATTCCAAACAGCGATTCATCAGATTCCAACTTTATATTTCGGAAATCGATTCTGGGCAAGTACCACGAAATGTGAGTACATCTACAAGTTTGGAACGCTTCTTTTCATAACTTCAAACTGCAAACGGGAACTGGAATTGGCACAAGCTGTTTCTTGCTTCCGTTCTTTGCCTTTTCTTTTCCCCTAATTTTACCATAACTGATCTTTTACATCAGTGTACTATTATTGAATGATTGTAGATGTATTTTGCTCAGCACTTGTATATAATGCATTCAACTGCTGCTTGTTGAAGTCCTTATTACTTGCACCATGACCTTCTTCTACATGCACAACCTGATAGAATAAGTTTCTGTTGGGTAATAATATTGATAAAGAAATCAAAAGTTTTTTTTTCTTATTTATTTTGTGGAATAAATCTACTAGTTGAGATGGCATGAGGTTGTCTCTCGTTCCATTGACATACGTGAGAACTACGAAATAACTGATTTCATTCCCCATCACTCTTGTCTTATTATGTTTTCAACCTTCAGAAACATGTTTGACTTTATTCACTACTTTGAATTGTTGTCCCTTCTGACGGTTCTACAAAACTAATTCTGTGGTATCTCCATAATTTCAACAAGCCACTCCCAAGGACTTGTCAAATCAAGAAGGTTTGCCATTTTAATTTGACCATGCTTGCTACTGGAAGTGCAAAATGACAGAATTTGACATGATAAGATCATCTTAGTACCTTCAAAATATATAATAAGATGAAAATTTGAACTATCAAATGTGAAAATCATCTTGGTTATTACCTTCAAAATATATAAGATGAAAATTTGAACTCTCAAAAATGAGTTTGAAATATTATCACCAATCAAATCCTCAACCTTTGACAAGTAAATTTAATATATCATCATAAAACTAATATTTTATGTAAAATATATGAAATAAGATTTTAAACTCTTGACCTTTGATAGATGAGGTAAGTGAGCTTGATACACCAATTATCTTTAGTACATAGATTTGGTACACCAATTATCAGATCAATATTCTAGATATGAGAATCATTTTTCTTCTCACAAAATCCCCACACCTCTACTCCAATTATTTTCAGCACAAAAATAATATTTTTTATCCTAACAAAGGAAGGCACTCGAGAATGCATAGTCCACTAAAATGATAAGCTCATGAGACACTTAAAAGGTTCGGAAAATTAGCATCTCAATTCTTAGACTTAAAAATTTTATATTAAAATTCCTATAGTTATAAAAATGAAACATCTAGATTTCACCGATGAAAATATGAAAACAAAAAATAAAAAAAAAATAATTTTAATATTCTAGTTGGTGGAGACGAACGGCGATACTGCTAAAGACCACGAGTGACTATTGTGGATGAGGAAGGAGAGCGACAACGAGAGATGAGAGTCGTTCTGCATATGCGTCGATACTAACGCAGTTGCCTAGCAATGCATCGGCGTAATTGTTGAGCAACAAAGGACTACTAGACATCTGCATCGACATCAACACTGATGCAATTATCAAGCGGTGTATTGACACATTTGCCAAGCGACGAATAGGCCACTTGACATCTACATTTGCATTAGTGTCGACGGAATTGTCGAGCAACAAAAGAGCTGCTCGACATATACTTTGACGTAGACACAAATGCAGAGCGATAAAAGGATTGCTCAACAATTGCAACGACATCGACATAGTTGCCTCTGCATCTGCGTCGATGTCAGCGCAGTTGTTGAATGACCCTTTTGTCACTATACATCTGCGTTGGCATCGACGTAATTGTCGAGTAGCAAAAGGGTCGCTCAGTATTTACTTCGACGCCGACACAAATACAAAGTGACGAAAAGATCGCTTAACAACTACATCGACATCAACGCAAATGTAAATGATGAGCGACCCTTTCGTCACTCGACAACTATGTCGTCATATCGCTTGACAACTACATTGACACAAACACAAATGCAAAGCGACGAAAGAGCTACTCGACAACTGCATCGACGTCGACATAAATACAAAGTAGCCTTCACCTATCACCATCGCTCTTCCTCCTCATCCACAACAATAACCCGCGACCTTCAGTGACGTTATTATCCACCACCACCAATTAGAACGTTAAAATTATATTTTTACCCATTGTTTTCATACTTTTGTCGATAAAACCGACGATGTTATGATAAATGAAATTAGATGCTACACTTTCATAACTATAAGGATTCCAATGCAAATTTTTTAAGTCTAAGGACCGAGATACTAAAAAGATTTAACTAGAGGAGTAATCTATAATAAACCCTCATAAATTGAACTCTTGCTCACTAAAGCAGGTTTATCAAAAGAACAAGATGATAGATGAATCCACTTCTGACAATCATTAATACAAAAAAATAAACACTACAAAAAAATAAACACTAAATAAGACCACGAATCCATTTCATGCTATAACTTTGAACACCCATTAAGAGCAATACAATAAGGGTCCCGATACTGGCAGACCCAGGAAGTTGGTTGATTGTCACAGCCATTACATTTGTTCTGCAGAAAGAATCGTGATGATGCGTCACAAATTATCGTAAGGCAAACATATAAGCTGTTGTGAGGTAAATGACCAAAACACGAAAAAGAAAACAGCATTCTACTGATCCTCGATTATTTGGATGTTATTTCCCATGTAATAAACTATCGGCAATGTTGAGAATATACTCAAAATCAGTCATCAAGAATGCTGTCAAGACATAATAATGTTGGACAAGAACCATAAAAGATTTTAATCCAAACAATTTCCTCACATAAGTAAAAACCATCAAGAATTTAAAATTTCCCACAAAATAACTTCATCATTTTGTTTAAAGATAAATAGTAAAAGCACGATTTAATCCCGAGACCTTAAGATGATCTATCAAAATAGCTAAACTAACTAACATCTCCAGAAAATAGAAGATTTCGAACCTCAACTTCCATCAGAACTTCATAACCACTAATATGAAAAAAAGAAAAATTGAGCCGTGCATACATCACAAAGTCATCAACCTTCTGTGTATCCTTTGCCAAACCTCTACATTTTAGTGCAACTATCTTAGATAAATACCAATATACACTAATTCTAAAATTGCATCGAAGTTATACAAAATAATGATGTTGTTCTTGCAAAGAAACAATAATGGTATGAATACCTTTCAGTCAGCCTGAGAGCAACTTCTTTGCTGGTTTTTATGTGCTGCACACATTTCCTTGGAAGTTGTTATTAGTATCAGAAATGTGTTCACTTGGCCAAATGTATTCGACCCATTATTTAAGGAAAATAGGACCAAATCTATTTAAGATCAATCCTAGTACAAACTTAAACTGCTAAAAATAATTTCAAATTTGTCTCATAATGTAAAGCAGAAATTTTACCAAAAGAAAAGAGTTCTATAGTGTTCCTCTGGCAGTTCATACTATTCAGCCATTCTAAATATTGTCAAAGAAAAAAAAGTTACTCAAACCATCAATCATAAAAAAAAAGGTTATTAGATAACAGATCATGCCACCCTCAAGATTTCCTGCAATGTCTTTCAGACATCTGTCATTTTCATCCAAAATAAGCTTCATTTCTGAACACAAGAGTGGGAACTATAACTCAAACAATTGATAAACCATAATAACAACATCAAATGAACCAAAACAGAAAGAAACAGCATGATACTATTAACCATATACATACGATAACAAGCAGGAAAGGTTAATGAAAAAAAAAAACTCATCAGTGGAATAAAGACAATAGTTTTGCAAATAGAAAAGATAACAGTTGAAGGTAACATAGTAAAATCATTAAATCCAAAATGTAATGGCATACTTTCTCATGCAATAAATTATGAGAATCCATAGCCCATGAAGCACACTAGAAGATTCCATAGCCCAAGGAACCACAATATACTATTAATAGCAACAAATTTAAAGATAAAAGATTTGAAAAAACAAAAAAGTAACCGAAAAAGTTCCAGATGATGACATCAATAACAAAATGGTATAGGCCAAAATAACCCATATGGATGGACCTGGAGATTACCCCAGTCTGTATCATCTTAGGACTAAACAAGTCATATAATGCCCAAGTTTCATATAATGTGAAGATCAAAACTTCTGATATGCACATAAAGTGATCATAAAAGTAAAACAACCCTCTTAGTGTAGAGGTTACAGACATAAGTTGACCTAATATATTGCTACTTCAAAGAAAGGAACATAATCATAAACCACAGATGCTAATGATATCTGGATAATGAAACAGCTCCAACTAGTTGCTTTAGTCTCATTTCAAGTAGTTCTGATGTACAAAACAACCAAATCGTCAAGCAATGGTAACAAAACTGTGGCCTTAGTTTCAGTATCTTAAATCGCCACTGGAACTATAAACTTTAAAGCCAACATAACTAACTTAATATGGTTATCTTTTCCATTCAGAGAAAAAGAAGCTAACATAACTATGAGAAAGAAAAAATAACAAAACTCATCCACAAGTATACTACATATGAAAAATATATACAACATGAAGTAAGAATACAACAGTCTACTTACCCCTATCAGGGTATTCTCTTTTAGCCTGGATTTCATATATGTTCTTCAGTCACCTTAGTCCTTGTCTTGTCTGCTTGGATATCAACGATAAAGACCAATGAATTATTTTCTGAGTTATTTTGGATTTCTTTCTTTCTTTTTTTGAAGTCTTTGGGTGATGAAAGGTTACACAAGTATGGATCTTCTTGGCCTTTTTTTTTAGATTAAAGTCGTCGACTTCATTATGAGGCATTGATACTACAAAAAATTCATAAATTTGTAGTCCTGACCTTAATCTTCAAATATTTTCCTTGAAGACAATGTTTTGAATCCAACTTGTGTTCTTTGGACTTCTGCTTCTCATTTCTTCTATTAAAGAATTATTTGAAAGACTTGATGTCCTTTTGTCACAACTTGTAAGCATTGGATGGTAGTGGACATATAAATAAATGGTCATTTCTGTTTGTGCAGATTTAACTATTTTGGCATTATAGTGACAGTCTATTGCATATTTATATGCATAGATATGAGAACACTATTTTAAATAATCACAATTTTTTACAGAATTTGACAACACATTCATAAGAATGATCAAATGATAACCTTATTGTAAATTTTTTGATGCAAAAAAATTGCGTTTATAAAATATGTCAAATATTCTTTAATGTATTTATTCAACATTTCTTCTTTACCCACTCAATGAGAAAATAACAAAAATAACATCAATGTTAACAAAGTTCTAATTTATGCAGACGCCAGCCATCAACCAAATTGTAGCAGACATTCACATATGTGAGAACTATGAAATAATTGATGAGGGGATAACGAAATGATATATTTAGGTGGTCATATAATTCAGATGCATACTGCAAAACCAAATGCATGCATTTGGATCATATGCAGGCTGCACGCCACCAACACAACCTTATAAAAGCAGCTACTTAGTGAACTGAAGCAGGTGTAACAGCACAGTATGTATTTTCTAATATACTGTGAATTTTGTCATGCTATCTACAGAGAGAAGTTTGACTTGTTTAATGCTAAACCAACACCAGAAACATATTTGATTGGAACTTAGCTAGACTTCACCGAGTTAGTCAAAAGCTAACAGTCTACACCATTTGGTCCCTCCCTAAAGCAAGCCCTTGGATTGCATTTCAATAACATGGGCTCTGGAAGCCTGGCTATCTAAACATGTATGATAAGAAGGTAGATTCACAAACACAACTTTCTGGATTAAGCAAATAACGAAGGCTTAACTACAAATACTTCATCAGTTCGCCAACATTGCATAAGGCACATATTTATTCACCTTGAATAAAATTCAGAGACATGTTACCAAGATTAAACAAACAATATAGATAAGTAGATCCTGAAAAGTGGTAAGTTAATGTTAACAGATCAAAAGTACAACAAAGATCAAGTATTACCTTTATTTCAAAAATGAAGCCCATTAAGTAAACAACATCACTGCCACCAAATCACAAAAGATGTAACCCAAACAGCCTTAAAAGAGTAGCATGGGAAAGACACGAAAAGGAAGCTTCATACCTCATCAGAGAATAGAAGTATAAAACACAGTTAGAGCACTATCCAGCCACTTTATGACAAACTAAAGGACCAACATCTGTGTTCTCAATTGTGATCGTCAAAATCCACCATAAGATTTGCTAAATGGAAAAAAAATAATCCTCAATTTTAAGCAGTCATCGTGTTATCAGATCCCTCTTCATCAGCACTCAAACCAACCACCTTCTCCAACTTTTTCCACTCCCCCACGAAGTCTTCCGGGAACTTCTTCTTCAATCCACCAACTACCCTCTTTGCATCCCTTAGCTTAGAAGCTTTCACCAACCCCTCTACCAGCAGCTTCACGGAACCTAAATCAGGCAACTTGCCATGCTTCATGCTATCCATGAACACATCCAGGCCTCCACCGAAATCCCCTTTTTTGCACAAAGCCAACACCAAACTTTTACAAGTCGAGGAATTCGGCACACACCCCTTCTCCTCCAATTCCCTGTAGACCTTCTTTGCATCCTCAAATCTACCATGACTGCAGTAACAGGCCATCAAATAGTTGTAAGTTATGATATCTGGCTTCAACCCCGCGGACTTTATCTCACCGATCAGTTCAAGGACCTCTTTTGGCTTCCCATGGGAAGCTCGGTACATAACCCGAACATTATAAGCAGGGAGATCGGGCTGGATCCCTTTGGTATTCATTTCCTTCCAAAGCCTCTCGGCCTCTTGAGGTTTGCCTTCTTTGTATAGCGAATCGAGGATGGTGGTGTAGATCACCGCAGTGACCTCGATCTTCTTCTCCTCCATCTCCTTGATGATCGGGACGGCTTTCTTAGCCTCGCCTGCGAGGCAGTGGTTCTTGGCGAGGATGCCGTAGGAGACCGCGTCAGGGACGATGGAGAGCTTGCGTCGGAGGTCGGCGAACAGCTCGGGGACGAGACGGCGGCGGCCGAAGCGGCGGGGTGAATGGTTGAGGGCGGAGAGGAGGGCGTTGAGGGAGATGGCGGTGCGGGGGGAGCCGAGCCGGGGGATCTCGTCCAGGGTGCGGAGGGCCTGGTCGAGCATCCCGGCGGAGGCGTAGGAGGCGACGACGGAGGCGAGGAAGGGCTCCGAGGAGGCGTTCTCGCGGTCCTTCTTGAGGGGCTCGAGGAGCGACTCGATGTCGGAGAAGCGGCGAAGGCGGGCGAGGCGGCGGATCTCGGGGTCGTAGGGAGGCCGGGGAGCGGCGGCGGCGGCGGCGGAGGAGGAGGAGGAGAAGGAGAAGCGGCAGTAGTGGAGAAGAAAGGAGGAGATTTGGCGGCGAGAGGAGAGTCGAAGCGCCATGTTTGCCGTGCACCGTCTGCTGCGAAGGCGAAAGCGTAGGGTTTTTTGAACTGGGCGAATTTTAATTGGGTCCGGTTGGGTTCGAACGGATTTGGAGTCCAACGTGACCAAATCGACTCAAATTTCAATTCAATTGATGCGAATTAATCGCAAATGCAATATTTTAGATATATGATATGCTAATTATCTCCATTCAATCAACATTGGACACGTGGAATTCAGGATTTATAATTGTTGTTGTCTACTTTCTCCCTTTTCTCTCTCATTTATTTCATCCCCTATAAGATTTCTTGTGGTATATGACCGAATGAACAATATCATCGAGATTTATATGACATCTTATCGTTGGAGATTACTGTGACTTACAAAATACGACAGCACTATAAGAAAAGATAATTAATAAGGATAAAAAATAATAATTATGAATGCATATTAGCCCTTTAGTTAGATCTATTTAATATTCAGATTCATATAATTAAAAAATTTATATAAAATCTTTATGGTTATAAAAGTTAAATATTTAATCTTATTTATATTAATATTATTGGTTTTATGAACGGAAGATATAACGCATGATAATATATGTATGAATGGTATGGAAACGATGATCAAAAATATAATTTCAACGATGATGATGAACGATGGTACCATGGGTAACTATTGTGATAGTGGTCGACGAGAATGACACGATGATCGATCTTGCCGATGTCAATCCAAACATGATGAGAAGAAAAAGAGGCAGAGCGATGAGATATTTACGTTGACGTTGGAAGAGGAAGAAGAGGCAAGTGAAGCATTTACATTGGCATTGCATCGCTTTACCTCCTCTTCCTTCTTCGATGCTACTATGCATCTCCATCAATGTTGGAGGACGAAGAGAAGAGATGTGAGTGCTGCACCATTTTGCCTCCTATTCCTTCTATGGCACTATCTATGTCGACAACAAAGGAGGAAGAGGAGGGAGGTGTGATATCTACGTCAGTGTCAGAGGAGAAAGATGAGGCAAGTGAGGAGGCATGCAAGGTAGAGTGGTATGATGCTGGAGGAGAAAGAGGAGGTAGAACGGTGCTACATCGACATAGATGCCACACTTTCGTCCTCTTCTTTCTTTGGTGTTGTACTGTTCTATCCACCTACCTCATCTATCTCTTATTCCTTCTCTAGTACTAATGTAGATGCAGAGCAATGCTAAAGCAGAAAAGAGAAGGTAGAGTGGTGTGAAGTCGATACATATACCGTACCTCTTCCTCCTTCAATGTTGTCTCGGATGGAGCCAAAGGAGAAAGAGAAGATAGAATAGTGCGATGCTCACCTCCATCCTTTTCCTCTTATTGTGCTGACACAAATGTAAAGTGATACAAAATAAGAAAAATGAGGCAAAATAGTGCGGTGCCCACATAGTTGTCTCACTTGTCTCATCTTCCTCCGTTGTGGATGTTATATATTTTTTATTTCGTTTTTACTTGTCTCACTTGTCATCTTCCTCCATCGACATCAATAAGATTGATCATTAAATTAATTTTTTTATATTTTATTTTTATATTTATTATGTGTTATATTTTTCGTCAGTAAAATTGATGATATTAGAATAAATAAGATTCGTCCGTACCTTCAAGGATCGGGGAAGTGAAAGCGCATAAGATGCGCATGCCGTGAGGTCCACCGAGTTTAGTTGCAGCAGAACCCTGAATCTTGCTTTGGGCTCCAACAGGTGATCTCGTCTCTTGTGGCACTAGCGATCCGGTCTTAATTAGCTCTAATTTTGGATCCGGCCCATTTCCATCTTTGGCCCGCCTTATTTTGGTCAGCGCCGGGGCGTCGACGACTAGAGGGGCATGGCGCTGTGGCTCTTGCGCGCCGCTCGGAAGCGCCACCGGTGGGCACCGCCCGCCGACCTCTCCTCCCTCTTCCCCTTCTCCTCTCCGCGTCAGAACCCCAACAAGCCCTTCACCGGCCCCCGTGAGCTCGGAGCTCCGATCCCGCCGCGTAGGCACCCCCGCTCGTGGCCGCCGCGGCCGCCGACGCTCCTCGATGGACTCCCCCGTTCTCTGTCACTCGCTTCGATATACGGAGCCTCCGGGAGCACCCCGGAGGATGGTGGGCCCCGGTCGCCTGACGGTGAAGCCGGAACGGCGGCCCCGCCGTCGTGGGTCGATGCGTACTTGCCGGTGTCGGTGCGTCCGTATGCTCTCCTCGCGCGGCTAGATAAGCCTATCGGGACTTGGCTGCTGGCCTGGCCCTGCGGATGGTATTGTTTGTTTCTTCCCCCTTCTTTATACAATTCCAGTCGCAAATTTTCGTGATTGATCCGTTGATATTTATGTGAATATGTTCTTGCACAATGTTTCCCTTCGTTGAGGGCTTTGTGAATTAGCTTCTGTCGGTTTTGTTGAAGCCATTGATCTTTTAATTAGGTTACTTTACAGTGTGATTGACGACGTTAAGTTCATATTCGCATTAAGGGGAATACGTTGATCGTCCTACTAGTCATAGTCGTAGTAGAGCATTGTCTTCTTTGTTACAGTCGTAATCGTACTGCCTTAGGCTTCACCTTTCCTTTTTTTTTGTCTTCTTTCTTTCCTTCTACTCCTCTCCTCCGCCCTTTTTTCTTTTCTTGTTTTGAAACAGTGGAATCACCTAGAATTGACCAAAATCCGTGATTTCACTTTGCTCCGGAGCCAATTCCAACCAATTCTATGGCCATGGAGCCTGAAATTGACTAAATTTGGATCATTTTTTAATGATGCAGATGTCAAACAGACATATATACCTTAAACTGTGGTATCAAGAGTAGAAAGAGTCTTGTTAAGTGAAGCTTCTTTTCTTAAGTCTCATTAGACTTTTTTCTTCATATAATTTTGAGAACTTACGCAAAAACTTCCATTGTTTAGTTAAAATCTTTATATCGTATACGTGTATTATTTATATATATGTGTGTATAAATGTATATTCAGAATCTAGAATCTGGTTAAGTTAGCCCTAAAAGGCTTTTAACTGCAACTACATCTAGGTCAATTACTCTGGCAGCAACCCCTGGAAACCTCCCTGACATTAAGATGTTGGCTTTGTTTGGTTGTGGAGCTGTGCTTCTAAGAGGTGCTGGTTGCACTGTGAATGACCTCCTTGACCGTGACATTGATATTAAGGTAAATTCTTCTATTGTTTTTCTCCTTAAATTTTCATGTTGAAAAAATATAAAAAAAACGATAAATGAAACTAAGAGAAAGGGAAGATTTATTCTCTTATATACTTAATGTTACTGAACTTTCATAAGCTCTTCCTGTAGCAGGTACAGGTACCTCAACATATAGATCATCAGCTTGGTAGAATTTTTTGATTAGTGCAATATATTTTGCTTATAAATATAGCACTTTTCTTGTATTATTTCTTTTGATTTTAACTTCTATGGTTAATGACACTAAGTCATGCATTAGTTGCCATATAACCATGGCTAGTGACCACACTATAATTTGAAGTAAACAATTGTGTTTCTTTACTTTATATATGCCTGCTCACAATTCTATGCTAAAACTTATACGAGTTTTCCTTGATGCTGCAGGTTGAAAGAACAAAATATAGGCCAATTGCATGTGGTGTTTTGACACCATTTCGAGGTCTTTGCTTTCTTGGTTTTCAACTTCTATTGGGTTTAGGAATTTTGCTACAACTCAATAATTACAGGTAACTCAGATCTTCAATTTCCCTGTAATTTAACTGCCAGTCGAGTTAATTTTTTCAGATAACAATAAACCTTGACAGGGACTTGGAGGTTTCTTTTTTACTTCTGCAATCTATCTTTTATCTTTACAAGAAATCCAATTTTCTTTTGTGTCTGTTCATACCAAACCTTCCCTTTCCAAAAACAGTTAGATGTTGTTGCTTCTGAGTTTTATCATGGTTAAGTTTTTTTCTTATTTAGTTTCAATGTATTTATCAGCTGTTTAGTGAGATCCAGATGATTAAATTTGAAATAGTTGGATACTCCTATCTAATAGTTAAAAAAACCAGGTCTTGTACTCCATGGGAGATCTTGTCAATATAACTTTTATGTCAGCTTTGACCATGTTTTTTTTTGTCTTAACTCAAAACTGCCTCATAGTACAAATTTGATTTGAGAGTGGCTAATTCAAGAGAACAAAATGGTTGGTTTAGCCAATTGGAAAAAAAAAGAAATAAAATTGCTTTGTAGATTTTAATTTATAATGCTTTGTAGATTCTGAAAGATTAAAACTAAATCCAGTTTCACTGAAATGGTCAAATTTTAATTATAAATTGCATAAAACATTTAAAAATGAAACCCTTTCAAGGGTGTCATAACTTAAACTTTTTTTATTTTGCAACTAGATATTTTACATGAAAGATAATGAGATCTGTGGTATGAGGGAAGGCAGAGGGAGATCAAAAAAACTTTAATAAAAATTATAAATAAAGATTCAAACACTCTTAAACTTAACTAAATATATGATTAATCTTAATGACGGCAAAAGATTTATGTAGCCAGCCCCAAATAGTTGAGACTTTGTTGTTATTGTTATTTTTGTATAATGAGATTAGTGTCAGACTTATCCCAACATTCAAATTAAGATTGGCAAGTAAAATGTCAAAGAACAGTTAACAAGTAGAAAACTTTACAACATATCAATTGGCCAAAGAACCATTTGCAAGGGGGGGATATGGTTGGTTTTTGATTCAGGTTTAGTGTTGTGGATAAAGGCAAGGAGAAAGGAAAGTTTATCATTTTCATTCTCTTTGGTTTTGATGATTGGCTGTTGGGGTGTGTGTATGTGAGAGAAAGAGAGAGAGAGAGGGCGGTGGGGTTATGTTGAGAAGTTTGGGGCAGGATTGGATTTCATGATGATATTCATGTCTACATTATTTGATATTCATAATGATTCTATTTCATTATCCTCAATGATTCTGTCAATAACAACAATACACAGTATAACCTTCTGAGCTCTTGACATGTGGACTTTTCTGCAATGGATTCTGCGTATACTTATCTATCTAATGATAAGTAAAATATGTCAAGTTCGTATGCCTTGTGCTGCGGAGTTTTTCCAATTTCATGAAGAGATTTGTTAAATAAGTTTTATGTGGAAGCTAGTAAGCAACGTGTAAGGCGGAGAACCTTAATCTTTCTGTTGCATCTAGAAAATCCTAATTTGCACGATCCGGTCTGGACTGCCGGTATTTAACGCTCCAGTGTGAACTGAGAAGTGAACCACTCCATTTTGGGTGGTGGGGTCCGGTTTTGTCTTTTTCATTTTAAAGATGATAGGCTGTTTTTCTTTTTTAGAAGGTTCTAAACTGTCAAACCAGATGCTTTTATGGCTTGTGAGGAGTCATGAGCCTGTTCTCCATCTCCGCTTTGTCGCCCGATTTCCGCCACCCCCTCTCTGTCACATGTATATTGTCTCCTCTGCCTCCTCTACCCCCTCCTCCTTCTCTCTTATTCTTCAATTTTCTTCCTTCTTCTCTCTTCTTATTTCCCACTTTCCCCATGTGTTGGGACATCAGCATGGACCAAACTTGGTACTTATAATTTCATTCCTTGATGTAGAGTGGCGACCACAAATAAGGAACTTGTTCTGCTGATCATTGATGTTCAGATGTTGCCATTTCATGAGCTATTATTCTGGTTTTGGATGAAGGATGTGGACGATACTTCCAAACCTGCCATCCATGAATATCAAGGATCTTATGGATCTTGTTACATCAGAAAATTAGACTTGGGGTTCTAATGACTCCTCTAGTCCTGCTGTATGATAATTTTGGTTCCCTTATCTTGGACCAAAGTGCAGCTTTCTACAATATTATTTATATTCTCAAAAATAGTTGTGTACGATTTGTGATTATGATGAATGTTCTTTTGAAGGCTTTGGTATGCATTTTGCCAGAACTTTTTCCTATAAAGTATGAAACTTCTATTTATTTTGTGGTACTCTACTGTCGTAATTTTGTTTCCCTTTTCTAATGTAGCCGTATTCTTGGTGCATCATCTCTGTTGCTGGTTTTCTCATATCCTCTTATGAAGAGACTGACATTTTGGGTATGTATAGAGAAAGTAGTTTGCAACTGTGTTGTCATATATGAGTAGGTGAAGTTGATGTTACTTTTTGCTACACTGTAACAGCCTCAAGCATACTTAGGTTTGACCTTCAATTGGGGAGCTTTGTTAGGCTGGGCTGCTGTCAAAGAAAGCTTAGATCCTGCAATTGTCCTGCCAATGTATGGTGCTGGTGTCTGTTGGACACTTGTATATGATACGATATATGCACATCAGGTATATGGGCAGCATTGGCTGTTCATATGAGCTTACTTTTGAGTATGCTTTTGTTCTCCACAAATCCAGAACCATTGCTATTACTTAGTAATACTGATGTAATCAAAAGTTTAATTTCAGGATAAGGAAGATGACCAAAAGGTGGGTGTTAAATCAACGGCATTGAGGTTTGGAAGTTCCACGAAGTACTGGATTACAGGATTTGGAATTGCATGCATAAGTAATCTAGCTCTCAGCGGATATAATGCAGAGCTTGGTATATCCTGATTTTGCTCTTCCTTTCTTTCATATATGATACTTTTGTGGACTCTACTGATTGCATGGTTACGTTTCCTAGGGCAGCATGGCCATTTTATCCATTTCTCGTAGCTGCTGCTGGGCAATTAGGATGGCAGATATTGACTGTTGACTTGTCTAATCGTGCAGATTGTAACAGAAAGTAAGTATTTAGTAGGTCATAGTTTCTAACATGATACAATTGTGCAGATTGTATCATGGCCATTTTATAACAATTTTGATTAACTTTGGTTCAGGATGTCCAAAGTTAGCAGGAAAACCTTAAATACAAAATCTATTTTTTTGGTAATAATTTATGCTCATGAAACAAGTGAATAACTCAGAAATCCAAAAGACCACGAGGAAGAATGACAAGCTTTGCTATCAAAAGTAATCTTCATCTCAAGAGAACAAGAAAGCCATTAGAACCGATGTAACCCAAACCTCAAGAAAGAAAAGTCCAAGGGGAAGTTCTTGATCTTGAATCTTGAACGTGTGTGGACTGATGTTCTTCCTAAAAATTTTTATGCATTCTAAATGTCAAGTTGCATTGAAGTTTGACGACAGCACAAATTCCTTGGCGATAGATTTGTTTCAAACAAGTGGTTCGGAGCTCTTGTATTCAGCGGAATCTTATTCGGTCGTCTAGCTTCATGAAGGTAATCCTTTAATTGGCTGTACGATTTATTCCGGGTGCAAGGAAGACTTTGTTGGATCTTCTGATGTGCAGGTTTCTAATGGACTGGTACTGCTGGCTGAAGTTAGCAATCGTTATGTGAGTACTATATGGTATCTATCATGTTTACTTTAATAGCTTCTGATTGAATCATCAATATGTCAATTGACACTAATCCAGACATTTTTTGAAGGGCAATGTGGGTTCAAGGCTTCATAACATGGGAGAATGATGGCTGTTCAATGCCTCCTGATCTCAATCCCAATTCGAGTTGGTAGACAGTTTTGCATCCCAAATTTTGTATATTACCTTAATGTTCAACTATTTTATGAGGGTACTAAAATATGTTAGGTTCAGCAAATTGTATCGTAATAGTCGTCCGTTTTCATTCAATCATTAAAATTTAAACTTTGTAATTATACTTTTACAATGCTTTCGTGTATTGTTTTAACTCATAATGTCACATTTGAAATTAAATTCTTATTATAATTTGATTGCGAGTTAGTGTATTGTTATACAAGTGTTAGATTCAAATTCAATTGCGAATGTCAAAATTTTTTTAATTGAAAAATAATTTTTTCTTCAATAATTCTAAAGTTGGATTTTTAACAACTTATTGATTCCTTTCGATAAAGAAATCAAAATATTATCAAAAAATCTCTTATTTTTTAATAAACTATATATCCTTGTACTTATTTTAGTTTTGATCACATCACAAAACATCTTGCATAACAATCATGATTAGATTTCGGAGGAGACATCTAATCTCGGTGGTTTTAAACCTAAATACATTGATAAGGAGTTGAATAAATAATAAAATAATTTCCATTATGTGATAGCAATTTTCTATCAGAAATTTTACATGCATATTTGCAATCCCTATTGCAGGAATTCACATGAAGAAGATTGCTCACCGTTTTAGCTCTCGATCAGGATCCGATAAGGCGACACCCGCTCCGCAAAGCTCGGTCCAAGGCCCGAGCCCGGTCAAATCGAGATCGCGCCCTCGTCCCGCACGCCATCCGCCGTTTCCTTGGACGCGTCCGCCGAATACCACCTCCTCGCGCGAGAGGTGTCACGTCAACCTCTTCACAGCCCCCCCGTGTCGCAGGACTCGCCTCATTTCGCCGAGCACCTGGTGGGCGGCCCCGAGGATGCGGTCCCCCGGCATATCCGGTCCCAATCTTATCCATCTCAGCTATCATAATGCCATCTATCGAGAATCCATGCAGATCCGATGGATACCACCTTAAATAGGCCGCATCTCCGCCTTCTCCAGCCATCCTTCCCTCCTTGTTTGTGGAATCATGTCTCTACTCCGAGAGCTCCTCGACCTCAACCTCACCGAGACCACCGAGAAGATCATAGCCGAGTACATATGGTAATCCGAACCATCCCCTCTTCAAACTTCAGTTACTTTCCACTGATAGGTCCTGATCGATCATTGTATGTGCTTCCAGGATCGGCGGATCGGGCATGGACATGAGGAGCAAAGCCAGGGTTTGTTTGCACTTCGTTTTTCCTCTTCGTTTCGTCATTATCTTTCATCATAAGATCTAACATATGGTTTGTAATATGGGTAACTTAGACTCTACCGGGGCCGGTGTCGGATCCGAGCAAGCTTCCCAAGTGGAACTACGACGGATCCAGTACTGGTCAGGCTCCAGGGGATAACAGTGAAGTCATCGTACAGTGAGTGCAATGTCTTCTGTTATGTAGCATAATGCAAAATCTATCTTTGGTTTCCTCTTTTCTTGGATACCTAATCATGTTCTATTTCTTTTATGCTTCCTTGTTCGTGTCGTGGTTAGTCCTCAGGCAATATTCAAGGATCCATTCAGGAGGGGAAACAATATTTTGGTAATTATCTCTTTAAAGCACAATTAAAATTTTGTTTTGATGTATGTGAGGAATGATGGGATAGATATATGCATATTAGGTGGTGTGTGATGCGTATACACCAGCAGGGGATCCGATCCCTACCAACAAAAGGTTCAACGCGCAGAAGATCTTTAGCCACCCTGATGTGATAGCCGAGGAGCCCTGGTAATCTTTTTAGAGTAGTATTCTCCCAAAAATGGTTTCAGAATTTGATTCTATAAATTGCTAGGCTTCATGGGCTTTAAATTTGAGATAGATGAAAAGAATGATATATTTTTATTTTTCTGTGTGATTCCACTAGATGATTTAGATGGAGATTGTGGGTTGCTTTTTAGTGTAATGTTAGCCATCCTCGTGAATTCCTTAAACTAAAAATTTCTTTCATCAGTTTAGATTGATCTGGTTATTTATTACTTAATTAACCTATATTTCTCTACATATAATATTGTGCCATTATTAAGACATTAGTTACCGATCTTGTTGATTTCTCGAAGTTTTACCCTTTTATGATATATAATGTCCTAACTGCATTTCATCATTGTTGAAGGTATGGCATTGAGCAAGAGTACACTCTGTTTCAGAGGGATGTTCCCTGGCCCCTTGGATGGCCAGTTGGTGGCTTCCCTGGTCCTCAGGTTAGACCCTAATGTTGTTACTAAGTATAATGTTTTTTCTCATAAGTTTTTTGCAATCTGAGCTTCTTCTTACATATAAATATCAGTTTATTGTACTTGTAAATGACTAGTGAATCAAAGCTTCCGAGTTCTGTTGCAGCTTCAGTTGAGTATTTTGAGCTCCATCCTTGAGTCTTTAGTACTACCAATTTGGATTTTTTTGGTTTCAAAAACAGAACTACTAATTGTTATGATATATAAACTTTTATCCTTTCCAACAAAAAGAGGTAACCTGCTACAATTATGCCTATAGGTAAAGGAAAATAATGGTCAATGGTATCTAGGAAATTAACCCCCGATAACGCTTTAGGTTTTGGTTTGACTCTTCTGTTATTCTTCTTTTTACTTTAGTTTGAAGTTGTGACTTCTTTTGCATCCTTACTTAGGGCCCTTACTATTGTGGTACTGGAGCTGATAAGGCATTTGGTCGTGACATTGTCAACTCTCATTACAAGGCATGCCTGTATGCTGGAATCAACATTAGTGGAATCAATGGAGAAGTGATGCCTGGTCAGGTAATCATTTCGAGTTTCATAGAGATGCTTTAGTTTCAGCTCAATGTTTTATTCATTTGAAATGATCAGATTGGTATCTTATGACCTCTGTCGATTCCTCTAGTGTTTTCTTTTTTTTCTTTTTTCGGTTACTTCCCTGATTATATTTATTTGTTTGATCGAACAGTGGGAGTTTCAAGTAGGACCTGCCGTTGGAATTACTGCTGGTGATCAGTTGTGGGTAGCCCGCTACATCCTTGAGGTAGATGTTGTACATATAGATGCTGTACATATCGTGTGACTCAAACACCTGATTATGGATGCCATTGGTTTCTATATTTCCATCAACTTAGTGAATCTTCCTACTTGTGCTGATCTATGCAGAGGATTACTGAAATTGCAGGAGCTGTTCTGTCCTTTGACCCCAAACCCATGCAGGTCATTATATAACTTTCACCTTTGTCTTTGTGCTTTAATTGGTTTATGGTTTTAGACACTATCATAAGTATAATTGAAAATTTGTATTCACCTCTAAGTTCCTAAAAACAAAGAGCTGTCTTGTCTCTTTTCATTCCTGTGATGTGATACCAGGGAGACTGGAATGGTGCTGGTGCTCATACGAACTACAGGTCATCTCGCTTGGTTTTGTATTCTAAGTTTTCATCTACATAAAATTCACATGGTCCACATCTTAACAGCACCAAGTCTATGAGAAATGATGGTGGAATAGAAGTGATTAAGAAGGCAATTGAGAAACTTAGCAAGAAGCACAAGGAACATATTGCTGCATATGGTGAGGGCAATGACAGGAGATTAACGGGTCGTCATGAAACTGCTGATATCAGCTCTTTTTCATGGGTAAGGAACATTTCTTCTATTTTGTATCTATAATCTGTAACTTTGTGGTGCTAAGGCAACAAGCACTAAGAACAAATTAGAAATATACATGACACCTAAGAAACTTATGGGTAGCAAATTATTATTGTTTAGAGCAATGATAGGTAAAGACATTCCTGTAGTATCAGGGTTGGTTCTTTAAGAAGGAAACTTAATTTGATCCATATATTAATAAAGAAAATTGTAAATGAATATTCCAACAACATTAAAGTCATTTCATGTGTTCCATTGCAAGATAAGCAGTCAAAGATGCTGATTTTTAGTCACCACCACCAATGGGCTTTGTCTTATCTACTAGCTTTATGGTTCTACTGTGTAATACACAGTGCATTGAACCAAATCTATTTTCTGTTCTTTTATCAACGATGCAACCTAAAATCATATTGCTTCCTTTTTTGAATCAAATTATTATTCCAATTATCCACTCATGATAAAGTACTTGTTGGAATCTACATTTCTGCCTTAATGTTTCCAGTCCCAAGGACAAATGAGGAACATAGTAAAACTTGTACATCGAAAGTTTAATCTATTTCTAGTTACAGAATGCTCAATTAATTTGAAACCTTGCGGATTTCATAATGCATGGAAGCTTAGTATTGGTTATGTGAATGTTGGTCTTTATAATGACATTCCATTAAAAGATCACTATATACTGACAATTTTGAATTAGAGGTATGCTTATGTTGCCACTCCTTGCTCTGCAAATATATGCCAATGTTATATGTTTAAATCAAAATAACCTACTACTCCACTTGGTTCTGTGGAGCATTCAATCAGGCTCCATTTATTAGCAGTAGGCCATACAGAACTCCAACCTAATATTTTGTTTCTCTAGTTAGGTCTATCAGGTAAGCCATGCAAACTATAAAATACTTTCATCTGCATTTATTGAGCATTTTTGGAGATAATTGATGATTAGTCTTCCAATCATGTTCCTTAAAATGCTGATGAGACTGATTCCATGTAATAATTTATAAACGTTTGGTAGCAATATGATAGGCGATTACGATTCTATCCACTGGACTTGCAGGGAGTTGCAAACCGTGGAGCATCGGTTCGTGTGGGACGTGAAACAGAAAAAGATGGCAAAGGTATATAGATTTCCATCGATCAATTATTTCCTTCTAAAATCTATTCTGAATCAGGTGTTTGACTCTTCTGTTATTTGCTCGAGTCTTTTTGCCTGCCCTATTTTACTGAGCTGTGTTGTTACCAGGATACTTTGAGGACAGAAGACCAGCTTCCAACATGGATCCTTATGTTGTGACCTCCATGATTGCTGAAACCACCATTCTTTGGAAGCCTTAAAGATAACATGTGATGGACATTTTCTTATGGTATAACCTCCAGTCAAATCTAGGAACTATTGATATGTATCCTGCTTTTATATGGTTTTATGGTGTTATTCTGGTCTTCAGTTGATTGATTTCTTGTAGTCCTCAAAAACATGAATATTTGTTCCTCAAGCATGATCTATGGTTGCTTGAGTTTTCCAATAATCTAAGCTTTAGTGGAACTACACCCTCTTTGGGATGTTGCCTTTTGGTGTGTATACTGCAATAATTATGATCTACTGTGACATTATTGAAAGCATGTGGGCATGTGATTAAGTTATTTTAGCATCTAATTTAGAAAGAAAACTATGTTCATGTAAATGTCGAAACGAAATACAAATTCAACAAACATGTATGCAAACGGGAAATGGACTCTCGCGTGATCGTCATGTAACCATGAATTAGGATGAGATGATCAATTTGAATATTGTTAACGATGAGCATTTCTGGCGCATACATCCATGTAACCTTTGTCACGAATCTAATTCATTGGTTTTGCTTAGATTGCATGATGTGCAATCCGATAAAAAACTTGCATATATAGAAAAAGAATCAGTGATGAACGAACATGCAGATAAATTGCATCACGAATATGGCTTGTCGTAATCACATACATATAACTGAATTGTACGCATATTATAATGTATTCCATGCATTATTAGAAATCATTAATTCACATTTTTTTCTTTTTATTATGAATCCAATAATAAAAATCTTATTATTGGATCAATAATAAGAAAAATGGATTCATGTTCTTGAAAAACATTATGTGCAAGCATAATTAAAAAGAAATCTGAGGTTGGATCCGTTACCAGCAAAACACCACCAAAACCATACATCAGAATTAATTATAAGCTTGCGAAGTCGAAACTGTTTTAGAATTCACCGAAGAAGCCGTGGAAAGGGACGAAGAGAGGGTGGCTCGACAATGTGATGATTGAAGTAGCGGTCGAACTCGTGGATGAGCGGAACACGATGAAGAGGTGGACAGTGGATGAGGATGGGTGGGGTGGTGTATATGAAAAAGATGACCCGAACGAGGAAGACCCATTGAGGGGTATCGTTACCGACATGGGAAGCCATGTCTCGGCGCCTCTTCCTAAGAGTATTCAAATCGATTCGAACTGAACCATTGAGGCCAAACCGTATTTTCGATTTAATATGGTTAAAGTAAGATAATCCAAATTGATTAATTTGATTCGATTGATCAATTTATAATTTTTAAAAATATGTATTTAAAATAAACTGATTCAATTCAATTGAATGGAATTAAAATCTTTGATCCAATCGAACTAACATGATAAAATTTATAAAATTAAATCCATGTCATTTTTAATATTAGACCTTTAGATCAATTTAATTAATCAATTTAAACCAATTAAAAGCTTAGAATAATAAATTCAATCCGATATCTTTTAATTAAGATCAATTCAAATTGATTAACCGAATCAAAAAGATATATACTACTTAGTCAAAACCCTTTAGTCTCCAAACCCCGAACCAGACCAAACCAATTTTAAATCGATTTTAAACCGATTCAATTTATGTTCGACTTCAATTCAGTTCAACAATCCAATTCAATTTGAACACCCCTACCTCTTCCGATCCAATTCAATGTATTATATTACTTGGAAAACAAGAGCACATTGAAAAGTGCAATACTGTGAATGACACAAAGAATGGCAATGCATATATCCAATAGTATAATGAATGCATCCAGTTTAAGACAAACATACACATATAAAAGGTAGTAGGAAAGGGAATCAATAGAGAGATGTGAAGGCATAAATGTGGTCAAAGACATGTCGTCAGTTCATGAGTATGATCAGTCAACCTACATGTATGCAACATTATACACAAACCCTAGCCAGCTGAGACATCTGAAGGAAAATGAGACCATAAGATTCATTATTCCTGTACAGTTGGATAATGTTAAACCACCCTCTTCATGGTGCCTAAATCAATCGCAAGAAGGATGATTTTGTAAGATACCTGACCGATGAGCTGATTTATCATGGGAGTAGATCATGTTTGATTCTGGATATCACCTCTACAAATTCTCCATGAACCATCTTCTTGCCTTCTCAGGATGTAATGAACCTTGTATGTACTGCGAATAGAGTGGTAGATAAACAAATGAGCAGTTCTTAAGGATAATACATATTGGACTTTAGATATACTGGTCTTGTGAAGAACCTGTAATAACTCGGTTTTTTTGGCTCAGATTCATCTACAAGTTCAGCAGCTTCCTCAATCACGGCCTCGATTTCAGCAAACTCATCATCACCTCCATCTGATACTATCTCAGCACGCAGAATAGCGGCTTGTATTAAAACAAATCGCCAAAAACAGGATTTGGCTTTTGCCGAATTCGCCAGATCTTGCCACTGACAATGACATACACCAGAATCCGAATCAAAGAAAAAATATATATGATGGCACATATAAATAATAATATAATAGTAGTAGTAGTAGTAGTAATAATAATAATGATGATGATGATAATAATAATAACAACAATAATAATAATAATCTGATGTCTTCTCAAAACTTACCTTTGAAAGCATTGCTTCAGAAAGAATATTGGACAGCAATTGAATTTGATGACTGGGACCTAATGCCTCAGCTTTTATATCTTGCCACTGATGGACCAGTGCTTCTGCTTCTTCAAGAGCCATGTGCCGTTTATGTATCATAAAACCAGCAGAAGTAGACAAAGGTGAGAGATCGGTGGGCCACCCATTCTGCATGCTTCCAACACTAATTTTATGCTCAAGGCGTTGGCTGAACATTGACCAAAGCTTCCGTAACTGCCACATTATATCCCTACCTCTAAAAGCAGATGTGCTATCTCCACCAGCAAAATGACTCAAAGCAGCAGCTTCACTAGTAATGCAATGGTTAATTGATTTCAATTCATGTGGCATTTTCAGATGACCAAATTGCATAGCAAGTAGCTTAAATGCACCAAATAATATGCATCCGGCAAGCGTCATATAGGCAACCTTTCCTGTTATATCTCCTTTATTAAGCCAGCTTTCCCAGAAACCTTGATGATGCAAATCAAGATTTCTTTTCAGCTGAGAAGATAGCAAGCTAGCATTACCATTAGTCTTACCAACTGCAATTTGGCTCTGCAAATTAACTGGTGCAAGTTGCTTGACAGCTTCTCCCAAATTATTGGTTGAATTAACCTTTGCAGATTGTGCACCAGAAGTTCGATGGTCTACTAAAAGACCAAAAGATGATACATAGTGTCCGGCTGAAGGAAGTGTCTTCATGGTCCCTATTTTCTTCTGGTTGCCACTGCTAAGAATTCGCTTTGGGCTCCCGAAAAAGTTGGCCTATGTTGTATCTGTAAAAATTAGAATCTTGCCAACATAAAGGACCTCGCACTATCAGACATCAATCCACTCCAAGACTCACCAAAGAAGGAGAGCAATCTCGTGTATCCGGAAAGAGAGATAGAACAGCGTCTTTCAGCCAAGTTTCCTGGTAAATTTCAGCAGTTCTTCTGGCATAAGACAATTTCAACCTTAATGCAAGCTCTACAATCAGCTACTATATGCTCATACATAGCTTATGAAATTGTGGCTTAGCTTAAGGTGTGATAAAAAGGAACTCTAGATTGCCCATTGTTTCCAGTTGACTTTCAGGTAAAACTTCAATGCATGAAAAATTACCCGTCATCATGATTACCATGAAAATACTAATGAATTAGAGTATGTAGAAGATTCTACAAACAATCAAACCCCACTTCTCTTGGTACTGACACAATTTGTAGTACAAGTCCAACCATAAAGATGAAAACATTCATGGATTCCAACAATTAGCCAGTAATCATTAAAAACCTCGAGAATAGATCATTGGAGAAACTTCTACGGCAGATTAACTTATATATATACAGATAACAATACAATCATTGGAGCATTGGCAGGTGCAAGCGATCCTTAAAAATAGAAAGTGCTTCGGTGCCTAAGAATAGCATCAGCCATGCATTATGTACCAGGTAGTAATGGATGATACAAGAAGGCAATTCAACAATGGATACATTGCTAATTCTATGGGTTCCAATTTTTAAACTGGACCTATAAATATACCTAAACATGCACAAAGTGAATGCAAGGATGAGGAAATTTTCATGAAATAATGAGGTTATGCACAAGTATAACTAACCAAAATAATCATATTTTAAAAACCAAATAGCAACAGAAGGGTACACCATCAACTAGTCATAACTTTGAGTTTTGTGTCAATACTAGTTGGTGGAACTACTATGTTAAAAACAAAATATTTCAGGCATAAGGTAAAACAAGAAAAATCTAAAACAGCAATATCAACCAATTTATTTATTTTGAACTTTCGATCTATGTCATTCATCTATATTACTCTCCCTTCATTTTCCTATTTCTGTACAAAACGTAGGTGGATATCATATGCATTAGCACATTGAAGCTGGTTTGATTTCGTATAAAGCAATTGGGTGCCAACACAAATACCCCTGGAAAACCAGTGGGTTTCTTCCCCAAATGAAAGCTGAGATGTCCATCATAATCCCTAATAAATCATATAAAGTTTGCAATCATTGAATATTCTGGCTATAATTCAGTAACCTAGAGCCTTAGTAGGGAAAAACATCAATGGCATGATAAGCACCTTGTATCAGCAAGAATTTAAGTTCTTGTACAGTGCATTTAAATGTTCAATATTTAAAAGCATATATAGAAAAATAAATTGCATCAGCATTTCTATCAAAGAGATAGTAACCCACAAGATTATGACAGAAGTCAGAAAACCCACATAGTCCTCAATCATAATACAGAAGTCAAGATCAAGTGGCAAAGAGACAAAAAGGAGCAGAGTTTGATAATACATATATCTATAAAAGCTAGAAATCAAAAGAGTGCATGATTAATAATTGCCAAATAAGACCAAGTTGGTGCCCAAAAAACAGATGCCTTTATTTTTTTTATCCTGAAGTATTTATGATAAGTAAGATTGAAATAGGAGTATACATTGTCCTAAAATGACAATTTTTTATGGTTATCTATGACACTTCTTTCCAGAAACCTGACCAATGCAAAATTGAGTATGTTGTACGACTACGACATTCCCAGTTCCTAGATATTATCCCAGTGACTTTTTAACATAAATTAAAAAAAAAAAAGATTGAAGACGTGACATGGACACCCACATGGGTAAGGTTTGTTCTGTTCTAGTAATTGAGCTAGTACAGGCTATTTGATCATGATAACGTAAACTGACTCCATAAATTTAACTTAGCGCATAAGGAAAAATTAAGTCTTTTGTCATAGCATATAAATTCTGGAACTAATCTTAAGCTGACGAAGAACCACCAAGTTAAATGCCCAAGCAACATGTGAAAACATGGCCAGGTATATCTTCATTACTTGAAAAAAAAGTAGCAAATCTGCCCATAACAACTTTAAGTCCTAATAAGGGACCAAGTCTTTTGAAAATGTAAGTTCATGAACTCTCTGTTTGATTTACTCCTGCAAAATATTCACAATTAATTATCAATATTACTCAGGAAACATCCAAATCAAGAATAGAGTCAGACAAATGATAATCATCACTTTTATCGACTATATTATCATACAGAAAAATGCTGAAGGCTGGTAGTAATCAACACAAAATCTTGAAAATTTAGCAACTTTTGTTAATTATCAAAGTTAACATCATTCGTAGAACTGAATCACAGTGCTCTTTCAGTTACATTTACATAGAAGGTAACAGACAATGAAGTACCTACCAATGTCTGGTTCACAGTGCCCTTGTCCTTGTATGTTCCACTCATACCAGATCGTGAATTCTGCGAAGTACAACTCCTTATTGTTTCAAGCTGCAGAAGCTTTTCAACAGTCTCCATGCCCCCAGTCTGCATAGATAGACCCACTTAAATAAACACATGTAGGAAAGATAAAAAAAGGATCCATGTAATTACCTGCCCAAGAAGAAATGAACAAAATGCTTCCTCAAACTTCAAGTCTGCTCCATCTGATATAATTAAACACTCACAAATGGCTTTTGCTCTAGTGATCTGCATGAGAACATAAACAGAAATACATCACTGCCTATGCCAAGAAGAGATAATCGTCACCAGCAAAGAGGCAATACCATCTCATTCTGTCTCATCGAAAACCCAAGAGCAATATGAGCGACCATGGCCAAATAAAAGCAATTAAGGTCGAGTACAACTCTTTGACTCTGAGACTCGATTGATTTTTTGTTCTTGCGAGTAACAGCCAAAGTATCCCAAGAAAGAAGATCTACTATTTCAGTAGCCATTAGCCTATTCATAGCTTGAATCAAGAAAGAAGGCCAATCTTGAACTCTACAGGAAGATTCAACATCTAGGCCCTGTCTAATCAGTTCTTGCAATGCTGCTAATGCCCCACGTCTACGTTCAGCACTATCAGGAATAAGAGGCAACCCCAGAAGTTCCAACGTGCAAGCAGGTGCAAGGTCCTCCAAAGATTCTTCTACCTAAGAAGTGCTCCAAATGATCAGTCATTTTCATATCGATACCATAAACTGAATCAGACAAGGGAAAGATACATACCTGTGATAGCAATGGCATTTTCGCTAAAGAGACATTGCTCTTTAGAAGATACTGGGCCCGTGCAAGAGCTTCAAAACCTTCAGATACCTTGTTTTTCTCAAAACCAACCTTTGCAATTGAGCACTGCAGAAGAGATACCAAAAAATCAAATGAAATATATGCAGTACAGCAAACAATTAAATAATAACATATTTGCTGATGTATCTTACTTCAGCTAGAGCCATAGAGAGAAGCAAATCATGACTATATGGCTTAGCATCAGGAAGTTGTAAAGCTGCTCGGCCGATTTCCAGAACCAACTTTACTTCTCCAACCTGCATTTAAGTATCAATTTCCTGTCACAATCTTCAACAAGAAAACCAAGGACAGCAGAGTTGATAAAGAGATATATGCAATCAACAGTTAGGGTACAAAAACAACAACAGAGTACGGTTCTTTCTCAGAAGTGAGGAAGCAGAAGAGAAAAAGAGAATTTCTATATTTTTAGTGTTTTAGGAGGAGGAGAGTGGAAGAAGAGATTGGGGCTGCACTTCATAGTCAGTGTTTAACTAACAAACAACAACTTTTGGGGCAGGAATTAAGAGACACCTCCAAGGATTGACCTATTTAAAGTTGTGAAAGTTATAAACTTTATAATGTCAACTTAGATTTATCAAGCCACGTGGAATCTTGATACGTCTACTACAGTCTGTCATGCTTCAATCTGTCTTGATAGGATATTGCATAGTAACCCCATAATGAATGACATACTCACACAGCATAATATGAATGCACTTAGGACAACTTACTAAATAACTATTTATACATGAGCACACATAAAAATGCAATACATCTTACAAGTCCAGGATATCAGGAAAAAGTACAAGAAATTCTAAATGGCTCACTTATTTGTAGCAAATAAATACAAACCCATGTCATCAAATGTAGAAGTACAATGCTGCAGGAGTGTCAAGTTTATAAAACATTTGAATTTAGCACATTCTCAGATTATGACAATGGCTGTTCATGGTCAAAATAGTCTTTTTGTAATTAAGCACCCAGCGAATGTGTTTACTAAACATAATAGGTTATAAAATATAAATTTTTTACCTCTTGCAAAAGGCATAGAGCAACAGGCAACCAAGACCAAGGAATTCGAAGAGAAGATTTTGGCGGTACTTTCTCTTTTATATTGCCAGCATATTCTGGTTCAAATAGAAGTTTATCCCTTACATCCATCAAGAGATCCTGCAAATACAACATTCAGATATCACACAATAATATATATAGTGAAGAACACTATCTTGTACCTTCCGAGAAACAATTGTTTCTGCAGTGTATCCATCCTCAATTGTTGAATTTTTCAGCTCCATTACTGCTTTGACAATCTCATCCTTTTCAGCTTGCACTGTAACACCTAAGAGCTGCAAATTTGTTGAATCTAATAATCAGGGATATATATATATATATCCTTGAGACTCTGCTTTATTATCCATTAAAAAATGATTATGGACGTGACTTCAACTTGAACCAAAGAATTTTTCCATAACTAATCATCAAGAAGCAAAAAGAAGTCCTAAGAACATATAAATTGTAGGATATGATTCTCTTAATAATTGCAACAGTTCCATGAATGTAGTATGCATCTCTCTCCAACTAACTCATTTTTTTCATCTGTTAGCTTTCAGTAGGAAATTACGATTGATGTTGATACAAACTCCTATATCCATTAACCTTGCTGCAAAACTAGTGACATCCAGGACACCATTGTAGTGTTTATCATACACAAATCCAATATAGATGGCTTTAAAGTTTGGCATTTGTGAAAAGGTCCAGATGTTATACTTGATTGTAATAATCTACATAATTCCGCACTTGGAAGATTGTACATTTTTCACAATGATATAGATTAATGGATAGAACAAACAGAACATTTTGTTAGACTTGCCAACTTCGATGGCACACGCACATCAGAAGTTTTAGCTATGGTAATTACAGTTCAATGATTTACTAGGATGACTATCAGCCAGAATTGGCAGTCTAGGTCGTATAGGTGGCATTTGGTAAGTCCAATAAAATTATCATGAATGATCAAATTTGTTATATGAAAATGATTCTTCATCAGAATCATTATACAATCTTCAAGAGAAATGTCACTCGTCCACATCTTATTTGTCCTTGCAGATAAGTAAGCACTATGAATGGATCTAAAGATCACTTTATCAAGAAATATTGATAATCAGAGAAGCAGCATTTTATTTGATATAACCAAACATCTACTTAATATGTTATAGTCTCCTTATTATATATAAAAAAATACTGAAGAATCAAGTTTTTGTAGTTCATTAACCTCAAATAAGTTATATGAATGATCTTAACTGCTAGCTTGATCAACTATTTTTCGTCCTCTCTTATATGCCACTTTCTACATCATTGAAGTTAAATATCAAAACAAGATAACCTTCCTAAATCATACAAATTCTCTCAGAAATCTAACTCCTCTCTAGCCAGAATTATGTGGACATGTGGCAACCAAGACCTGTTAAGGCATTTGCATAAAAAAGAATGAGCGAAAGAGAGCAGATAAGTCCTATCCCCTATATGAAACACATTGTAAGAACATCCACGTGTTCCATCCATCATCTAATTTGTGAAGCTCATGAATGTCTCCTCTTTTATTGCTTGTACGCTGTCTGACGTACAGGGACACTTACCTCACCTCATCAACCTAGACTCTCTTGTTGACTATGCACACAGGTAAAACCAAGAACATTACAACATATACAATGTCATAAAACAAACAAACAAGAACTTATAGGTAATATCAGCACACACTGGGCCTAGGTGAGAAGACAATCTAAAATATCTATCTTAAAAGCAAAGCCTAAAGAAGATGTTATCATACTGATCCTTTCCAGAACTCAAATTGCGTATCTTGCATTCTGATGTACAAAGATCTGTGCCGCAAACTTATCAGTATATAAGGATTAACGAGTTTCATGGAAGTCCTTGACATATTAATATATGCATTCTTTTGAATAGTGTATGTCGTTTTCACATATTTGAATTCTACAAAGCACAAGGCAATCAAATTTCTCTTGCAAACAAATCAATGAAGTAATAATGGAAGATCTGAAGGCATAATGCTAATAAACGTGTGGAATTTTTTTGCATAACTTCCCAACCTGAAAACAAGTCACAGGAATCTCCACCGTGTCTCGAACCTGCCCATTCTCTATGGCCGGGGCCTCCAACACCTTCATCTTTGCCTGACCAGAGATCTCCATGCGGCTAGTACGAGACTTGGCCTCCGGAGACGGCTCACTGAGGACCCTTCTTTCCCTGCCGCAAGCAAGAGATGCGACGCCGGTCAAAGCCAAGGACCTCCGTCTCTCCTCGAAAGTTGCATTCCCGACGCTCCCGCACCGAAGCGGCAGCCCGAACACCGTGTGAGACAATGCCATGGCCAAAACCTAACGCTAAGCGGACGATCTGCCTTCTAATCCATGGAAACCCGCGATCGAGCAAAGAAGATGGCTGAAGAACCGCGGGGGAGAGAGCGAGGTCTCAAATTAGAATTTCGCCAAGCTCCATTCGAGGGCATCGAAACGGAAGGGAAGGGAAAGGAACGAAAGGGTCACTGTTCAATGCCATGGCCAAAACCTAACGCTAAGCGACCAGATCCGTCTCCTAGTTCATGGAAACTCGCGATCGAGCAAAGACGATGGCTGAAGGACCGCGGGGAAGAGAGCGATGTCTCGAATTAGGGTTTCGCCGAGCTCCATTTGAGGGCATCGAAACGGAAGGGAAGGGAAAGGGACGAAAGAGCCACTGTGCCGGCGACGGACGAAATAAAGAGACCCCGAGGAGTGAGGAAGGGGCAACTGTACATATATACTTATTTGTACTGAAATTACATAATTACCCTTCTAAATATGTATTCCTTTAAATATTACAAGAATGATTAGAACATATATTAATTGGAGCAAATTCTCCAGAAATTTTTTTCTTATTTTTTTCTTATATATATATACACACACACAAACTCCAATTAAAAAATAAAAATATACAAATATACAAATTTTGCCAAAATATATACAAGCAATTAAAATTACCAAGAAGCTCTCATCTTCGCTAGCAAAATATCACAAATGTGAATAGATATAAAGGTTATGATTTGCCTGAGTAATCAATTAAATTAATCCTTAACCGAGGAGATTATAGACTCAAATATAGAATGACCAAGCAACATAATCACATATTAGAGTTTTATTAGATAACAAAATGACACTGTTAAGTTTGAAAGGACCCAAACAGAAATAATGACATAATAAACACTAAACATTCATGAAGAATGAAAATAGGAAGAAAGAAAGGACTCAAACATCTCTCACCCTATATTTAGCAACATATACAAGTGAAGATATTAAGATGTTCTCATCTTCTTAACAAAATTGTTTCTGGCCAAGCGGCCATAGAAGATTTTCCTTGATCACATAAAGAAACATTCTCAAACTTTGTGATCATATTGTATTGAGACACAGAATATAATCCCTGTGGAACAAGGAAAAAGAATAACGTTTATTAATTCCATCTGTCGGCATAGACAAACAAAGCTTTCTATTATTTTTCATTGTTAAAGAACAATTATAACTCAAGAACAAAACTCATTGGTTAAGCAATCTCTTCTCTATAGAAATCTCGAAGGCCTTGAACATGATCACCATCGATTCCTCTACTGAGATAAGCCTTGATCATGGTGCTATAGGTTACCTTGTCGGGCGTACACCCTCGAGCCTTCATCATCTCTAGCACTTCCCTCATCTCGACCAAGCATCCTGCTCGGCCATATGCATCCACCAAGCAGTTGAAGAAGACTACATCTAACATCACATCAGAGTTCCCGATGAATCTCACTACAGCCTTTATTTTATCCACTGATCCCGTCCTTCCATATGCTCTGATAAGCGAGCAGAGTGTGACACAATTTGGCTTGATCCCTTCGGACTTCATTAATCTAAAGATGTACTCCATTTGTTTCAGATCTCCCGCCCTCCCAAATGCATCAATAACGACATTGTAAGTCACCACTGTCCATGAAAAGTAGTACTTCTGCATGTACTCCATTACAGCACCCATCTTCTCGTATCTTTTGGCCTTGCCATAGGAATCAAGAAGTATGTTGAATGTTTTAATATCCGGAGAGATGCCAGAGCTCTGAAACTTGTCATAGCACTTCTCCATCATTTCGATCTGCCCACTGCCACCAAAGGCTCGGAGTGTTGCATTCATTGTCCAAACATCAGGCTTGCAGTCATGGTTAGAGAGCATTTCCATAAGTGTAGACTCCATCTCTGCAAACCTTTTAAGTAAACAAAACCATAGAGATGAATTTCTGCTCATAGATTAATAGACATTACGAAAAGGCTATCAACTAAGCTTGTTGCATGTATAATGTTTGCTTTAATTTTTATCCAAGCTACATTATTTCTACCCCATTTCAAGCATGTATGAGCTGAAATGCTCTATAGTTAAATGTCTTCAATTGTTGGTAACAGAAAGTTGTATTTGAAAAAGTTGACGAGGAAACCAAAAGGTGAATATCAACAGGTCAAAATTACTCCAAAGAGTAATAAACAAGACCACAAGTGAATAATCTTTGATCTTCAAGTCATAATAACATGGCAGAAAATAGTGATGACCAATACTACCTTAATACAATCAATTCATGTAAAAAGCATAAGCTTTTCAAGCTTGTAGACAGTGGCATGAAGAGTTAGAAACTATCATAAAAAAGGATACAGGAAATAGACAAGAAGCAGCATTTACCTTCCTGCTTTTCCATAAGCATCAACTAGAGTGTTGTATGTAATGATGGTTGGCTTTATACCCTGGCTCTCCATATCAGATAGTAAAATCTGAACTTTGTCAAATGCAAAGACTTGCACACAGGATTTGATGAGAATGGAATAGGTATGAACATCAGGCTGGCAGCCATCAATAGTCTTCATCTTGTTCAGCAAGGAAAATGCTTGATCAAGGAAACCGCTTCTACTGTATGCTGAGACAAGAGCAGTGTATGACTCATGGTTTATGATGCAACCTTCATCAACCATAGCCTGGAAAAGAGCTTGGGCTCTTTCAGGCTGCTTACATTTCCCAAGCATGACAATAAGTTTTATGTATATGCCAGAATTTGGCCTGTACCATAACTGCTCACGAAGAAGTTCGAACACCTGAACCAAATGACAGTGAAGCTAGGCTAAGAAATGTTGCACAAACAGAAGAGATAGGAAAACAAAATGGCAAATGTATATGACCACAAAGAAAAGATTTTGAAGAACACATCTAGGTTATCAAGTTTCTAGTTTGGTTTAATTGTCAGTACTGGAACATGATACATGCAATGAAATAGGAGAATGAAGCATAACAAAAAACAACTGGTTCCTGAGTAGTAAACACAATCATTTAGTTTAATGAAACCTATGCATCACAATCCAACTATATCAAAACTTCACACATATAGTGATTGTGTCAATAATCTTCTTTACATGATTGGAAGACAACATTTTACCACAGAAGTCAACAATTAAGTAAAGATAATTCAACTAGAGGGAGAAAAAGGGAAAAGAAAGGACTCAACAACCACAACTCTCACATAGATAAATGTAAAAAAATTTAGATGATGACACAATGTACATAAAAACATAGATATGATAGCCAATATCAAAATAGCTAACATCTGATCCCTTCGAAACTAGGTCGAATATGCATGGCTTCAGTGTTAAAAAAGGTATGAAACTGGATCTCAGCCTTAAAACATGCCTTTTTATATATCTGAAATTACTAGAGACAATGGTAACCATCTCTTTTGCAACTGTTTAACCTCATGTACCCCATACCAACTGTATGAACCTATACTCTCGACCGCATTTGCAACTACAAAAAGTTAACCACTTGGAGTATATTGTTTATGTAATTCTGGCATAGTGCAGAAGACGACACAATGCAGGTTCCTGGGAGCATAAAGGTCTAAGATACCATCTAGTAGAATATTAGATTTCAATAGCAAAATGATGAATGAATTGAGACTCATAGAAGTCACACAGGGAAACAACAAAACTTGATTAATTATGATTATTGACGAAGCCACTTGTTGCAAAAGCTGAAAGAAGCCTTACTAAAAAAGGACAGAGTACAAAAAGGTCAAATTTTATATGACTAAGAAATCAACATAAGAAAACTGCAAGAATTTAACTTCTATCCTGTTTCTCCCTTTCCTATGCAAGGTTGACAATCTTCACATGCCTGTTCTACAATAGCATGGGCAGAATATTGACAACCAGAAAGATAACCTGAGCTGTCAAGAGCTCCCAAGTTTCAACGATGGCCATTAATGTCAGGAGCTCTTGAGTTTCAACATTACTATTTCCATTTGCCTAAACTCAGTTCAATCAAGCACTTGCTATGTCAAATAATAATTATTGATTTTCAACATTAGTCTTTCCTTTTGCCTAAACTCAGTTCAATCAAGCACTTGGTAATTGGTATGTCAAATAATAATTATTTTTTCCTTTGGAATCGTTGAATGCAAGGTATACATGGTACGGTAGGTACATGGTAGTGTGCCTCTGTAGGAAAATGTTCATGCATGCACGGAAGATATAGGATAAGCTGACAGTAGTAGAAAGTTGGAATCCGGATAATAAACCATAAGTGTGTGGAGGCATCAAGTTTTGTCCTTTTTTTTGTGCTTAATACACAAGCAACAGTCGATATAGCTTAAACAGGCAAATCTACAAACACGTAACTGACTTGATCTCCAAAAAGAACATTTAGCCCAGCATGCAATTCATGGACGAATAAGCACACACAATAAAGGAGTATATTAGCTTCTTGGCAAGAAATTAAGCACAGAATTCATCATTCTTACGCAAAAAGCTGAAGGGAGCGAAGGGGAAAAGGGAGAAGGAAAGACCTTGAGAGCAGACTCCCACCGAAGGGCAGTGATCCTCTCGTGGAGGGCCTCGAGAACGGTACGGGGGAGGAGTTTCCTCGAGTTAGTGCGGCCGCGCTTCTTCTCGATGACGGCCTTGGTGGCCTCCCGCCTCAATATGATGGATATGGCTTTCTTGGAAGCGATCCTACGGTTGACCACCTCTTTCTTCTCCCTCTCCTCCTCCCTCTCCTTCCTCACCTTCTCCTTCTCCCTTTCGCTTCTCCCGGAGCTGCGTCTGTCTGGCTGCGACTGCACTGCTGCCGCCACGGCCACTGTACTATTCTTGTTTAGATTCTTCTTCTTGAGATCGTCGCGAGGATGGGAAGCGGAAAGCGGGGAACGAGCAGACGCAGTTGCCATCAATCTGGGAAGAGGAGATTGGCAGTGTGTGTTCGCGGTGGGAGAGAGAGAGAGAGAGAGACAGAGAGAGGGTCGAGTCGAGCCTTAGCCGGATGAAGGCCGTAAGTAATTTTAATATTTATTCATGGGCAATTTTCGGAAAAAATGAATTTTTCCCATCGGGCATCAGTATACCTTCCTATACACAACAAAGGAATAGTAGCCGTATTATTATGCTTGGACTTTTTGGGCTAGGGGTATTTTGAAGATTTTGGTTGAGTTATGATGGAGAACAAGACGTCTTGGCTTACTATTTAGACTCCCTTTTACTATTCACACAACCATTTTACTATTTATAAATTTTAAAAAAAACTAATATAATAATATTTTATTATACAAAAAGTAATCTTTCTGCCAGAATGCGTATATGTAAACATTTGATGGATACTGAAGATTTGTTGAAATCTAATCAAAACTGCTACTCACGCATGAATCGAAATTAGAAAGCATCAATCTTTTCAATGGGCTCCTTTAAAGACGATTCGATGTTCAATAACCAAAATCCACTACTATCAGAAACTGCAGCAGTGGTAAAACCTGCGTGATGATAGATAAGAACAAAGCAAGAATGCAAGTCTAGAACATTAGATATCAGGATTTTGAAGATCATACACTATTTTAAATGCAATATGACGAAATATGGACACAAATAAATCCAGTAAGGTATGAGATCTGACCACAAAAGAACATGGATCATTCTGAGCGATTATGCATGACTCACGTCTTTTGACCCCATGTCTGGGTCATTGGAGCATACAAATCAATCCCCCAACTGCTTACAGCATCATCCACACAACAAAATGAACCAAATGACAAGTGATTATTCTAAACAAAGTCTCAATATCTAAAATCTCTTACAGTAGACTGGAAATTTTCGAACATGTGGGTATTCGACTGTATCTTGGAGAATGTGGCTTGGAAGTTCCTCCTACAAGAAGAGAAATAGAAATAAGTTAATATGAGCAAACAACTCAAAATCATTATCATCATCATCATCATCCAAGATTGCGGGCTCTCTTTTGCCCTTGATATCAGTTGGTGTATACAAGAACACAACTCAGAATCATCATCCGTATGAATTTCTTGCTTATAGTATATAAATTAATTTGTTCAAATACAAAATTTCACATAAACAAAGTTATCCCCAACCAAAAACAGGTGACATCCTACAAAATCAGTAGAAGTAAAAAATACTTGGATCCATCGCTACATGAATAGCGGACAAACTAAAGCAATTTCTCAGATACAATATGATTGGAAGGGGAAAGGCCACATACATGTTTTCTTGGCTCGACCAGGTGAGGATGACTGGGTGAATAGAACAAAGAATGGGAGAGTTGAAAGAAATGACCAAAATCTGAATGATGATAACCTGTAGGGCAAATCCCGAATCCTTTTCTTTTTATTGTTTCACAGAAAGTTATCTGACATATGGAGCTCCACTTGGCAGGTTATGGGCTACAGAAACAGAAAAGAGGGAAGAGAAGGGAGTACTTGATCTAGAAGATCTCTAGTTCACGGATAAAGAACAACCTGACATGACTACTATCTCCACGGTTGAAATTCAATGACCAAAGCAAACAATTATTTTTACTGTGTTTTTGCAATTTTGTGCAGCTTGTTGTATGCATTATGTTCTGGAAGGATGCTACTTTAAGGCATATTAGTGTGTTTGTATGGGTGGGCAGGTGGGTGATTTTCTTATTTTTCATCATCAAAATAACCTTGTACAAAATGAAAATGCCCCCATCCTACAACCAAGAAAAGGAAAAAAAACCAAAAAGAACATCCCAAATCACACATTTCATGCACAAATAAAATAACTATATGTTGCTCCCTCTTGATGAAGACAATGGACATTAACCATGCCACAAACAAAGTAGTAACAGTTAGTTAGACCTGTCTATTAGGTTAAAGTAACAAGATTCAGCTAGGACTCAACCAAAATTTTTAAGTGGAAACCATGGATTCAAGCACCAACTTTTAAGCTGGTGCATACCAGTATTTACTAGTCCAACAACCACTGTATTGTCACAGACTTAATTAGTTTTGCCTAAGTCGTGCGATACCCTCACGTGTCCGTCCGCAAAGAGTCGGCCTCCCCGAAACCTCTTATGATCCCTTAAGGACATACAAAAGAGAAGACAAGTTAAAAAAAATGTTTAACTCGGGATCTACAAGCAGTCATTTCAGTAAACACTTGATAGACAATACAAATTACAAACATAAACTTCACAAGCTCTAAACAGTCACACGATAAAAGGGTCCAAGGCCACGGTCAAAAGTCCCCACAAGTGCCTACATGACACTGATGTGGAACAAAGCAGCAAACCAATCCTAGACACTACCCTAAAGGCTCATCTAACAATATGCCACCTGAGTAGCTCTTGGGTGGGTGCTGTGCTGGTTGACAGTCTGCACCACTCTGCGGAGCTAGAAAATTCCCAAAATGATAGCCTGGATGGCTTGTTTTGGGGCAATTTTGGCTCTGCACGATGACTGCACACAACTTGTATTTAAAAACCTGAAACAACCATAAAAGCTAATTAAATATGGCTACTAAGCCTACTGCAAGCCCTCTACATGTTATACAAAGCATGAACAAAACCGAGAGACACGGATATATATGAGCATTACATCGAACACCCTTCTTATAGCTTTGTCCATGACAATATGGACTTTAACTGCGCAGACCAAAATGGACGATTTTGCCCACTTTGGTCTAATATGGACTGTCCTGCCAAATATTCATACTGAACCATGCATACCAATCAGGAATTAGTTGGTATATAATTATATATCACATCATAAGTGTATTGCCCAATCACCTGACCTTCCCCATCCAAGCCCCCCTCTTTCACTTGGTGTCTCTCAAAACTCCCACAATTTCTCTCCCAAATCACTATCTTCTTGCAAATCAAGGTTCAAAGCCAAGAATGCATCATCGTTTTTCTTTGAACCAAGGTAAATCTGAAACTCAAATTCCAAGTTATAGGTCAGTTTTTGTTGATTGAAACTTCATTTTTACATTTTTGTCATCTGATCATGGTTTCATGCTTAGACTAAAGCTTTAGTTCAACATCTATATTTCCCTTTCCTAATTTCTTGTTCAAAAGAGATCAAATCAATGAATATCTAGTACAGATCTATTTCATTCTAAGTCAGATCCGCTCCAGTCCGACCAAGATTCACTCAAACCAGCTGGGATTCACTTAGATTCAACTAGGATTCTCTTGCATACCCTTGAGACAAATTTGCTCTGAACTAAATCCACATAAATCCAGACTCAATCCATGTGCATCAAAACTAGATGCATGCAGATCCAACCAAGATCCATATGGATCTAGCCGAGATTCATGAGGATCCAACTTAGATTTGCAAAGGCCTAGATTTTACATAGAACTAGCCTAGGTTAGATCTAAGTTAGATGTAAGTTGTATTTCAAATATCTAAGCATAAATTTTAATATTGTAAGCCTCAATGAGCTTAATAATGATTATAGAAACTAATATTTTACTAGCAAAATAGTGATCCGATATGATAGTATGGCCGTCAAACGCCATCTTTAGCAATGGATCTGCTCCAAATACACTGGTCAAGTTGGAGGAATATAACCCGAATGGAGATGACCAGTGGATACTTTAGACATGGCCAATGTGCAAGGATACCCCAAAAGGGATCCTTAAGGCTACAACAGGAAAACCAAAGGGAGAACCTCAATAGGTTGGCATTTGAGTTGCCCATATGTGATGAATTTGATGATCTCGTAGATCATATTGATGAGGACCCAAGATTTGTGCATCATTGAAGAATCAAACATGGATGAGGAGACCATATGACACTAGTATGGATATGGTACTTCATCCCAATATGAACATGACAGGGCAGCGAAATGGTGTTGGACCTTCTCAAGGAGTTGATCTTCGAATATAAGGCAGCCCAATGATAGTAGTTCAAAGGGGCTAGGCAGGAATGCCAGTATAACATAACCAATATTGCACATCAGCTGAACCAGGCTACCTGTACAAGGAGGCCCTGAGAGGAAATATGGGAATTCTTTAGTTCATTTGGCATGTCAGATTTTGATGTTACTGGTTCAGATATCAAGGCATTCCCAGCTCAGAGTGCATAATAGACCAGGACCAATGATGCTAATACTAGAAAGAAGATACATAGAAAAAGCAATAGCAAAATGATTTAACTTAACCATATCCTTGAACATATAGCTTGAGGACCTTACTACGGAAATATGGGATTTACTATTGAGAAACATAGTCCCAGTATACAAGATCCCAATCTATTGAATTTGTCTACAAATAACTTGAGGAGGAGGCTGAGAAAATCCAAAATTAGCTCATCACTTAAAAGGTCATGTGACCTATATGGTGTGATCCTTATGTTTGACAACTGATTCGGCCCAACCAAAATATAAACTTTCTGATCTGTTGCAATGTAAATATCACCTTTCATAAGTCATCAAATCACATTCAGATGCACAAAACTTTCAAGCTCTGATATAGATTATGGTAGATGGGATCGGAGAGCAATTTATGTGCAAGTAGTCACAAATAATAATGCCAACTTCAATAAGATAAGTGATCAGTTAACGGATATCATATGGCATCTGTCGATAAGATTAGTGATCAATTAAGGGACATCAAATGACATCTTCTTTGGAGACCATATGCGGCCCACTGTTATACCTCATAATGAAGCACATTGGTGATATAATACTGGTGAATACAACAGCAGAGACAAAGTATTACTTGTTTTATGTATAATCATCATCGAGTGAATTCATTACAAGAAGCTCTTACAGTTGAGTAGTACATGACTAACATCAAATTTCATATCCTTAAAGTCCATCTAACAGCAAAAGACCAAACTCAAGAGGATGTTACCTCTTTTATACTGCCTTGTTAGATAAGAAAATCATGAGAAGAACATATTATCCTCTAGATTCTAAGATACAATGACTATACCATTGTAGTTTGTTAAGCTACTGTACATCATCCTACATTGAGTAGGCCATGTATATATTACTAAGGAGAATATTATGAAGGCATATGTTGTACAGAGATTGTATGATTGCTAGGATATTGAATACTCCAGAGAACTACAAATGGCATGTTGAAGAATATTTTAAATTCATTATTTGTGAACTTTCTACATTTGGAATGATCAATATATTGGCATCATGAATAAGAGTAACACTATGTATTAGTATCAATAAATCTTATCACCAATAACAACTTCTTACTGGCTCTTCATTATGTCATCACAACATAAGAACTGGACATCTCGAGTGTAATCGATGCAGTTAGTGAGGTACAATAATTAGTTGATTAGACTGTTGTTCATAATAAGACATGAACAAGTACTTATAGTGGTCAGTCACTTTGGGACATCTCTTTTGAAAGGTTTTTGGCACATTCAGCAAAAACACAGTCATTTCATGTCAATGTAATCTAAATCATAGTAACATAACACAAGTGGAAGCCATCGATAAACTACAAGTCAATTTGCACAACAAGACATCTTCTCCATCAAATATACTATCCATTAGATCTGTGGAGATTACAGTGAGATGGATATTTGCATGTCTACCAATGATGATGGCCAGATCCAAAGGTCTTATGTTCCTACAATGCAAACATAGAGCTGAAACATAGACCGCTGAACACTATTTTAACACGTTGCAACCAAGATGATGATCACAACATCTGTAAATTCACCCTATTGGTTTTCAACAAGACTCGATGGGTTCTTCAACTGAATCTCATGGGCAGCATTATCATGGTGATAGTTGACTACTCAAAATATGACACTTTAATTAATGATAAACTCACAATTTATATTGTGCTACAACTGCTGCCACTGTACTTGTACAGGTCATACTTAACTGAGCAACCTACTACCACACAAGTAATTAATGATGATAACTCCATTATTGCTACTACTTTGTTTTGTCAACAAAACATAATAAACCGATATCAAATACTGTGGGAGTAGTTCCATGGATGACTTACTTATAATTAAAATCTTGATATACAACCGATGTTGAGGACTCTAAACCACTTTGCATAGGCCGCAACCATTTTGGTCGTGGTGAGCCAATTATAAAGTATGACATTTGATTCTCACTTATGTGATTTTAATACATATATCGTGTCATACTTATAACTGTTACATACATCTATATTTTTTTCCTTCATTTATGGTTTAGAATACATGTTAAAAACATGTTTTATTTTGTTATTTAGTATATATTCAGCCAAAGTTTTAAATTATTATTAATTATTTAGTCAATATTTAGATGTTTATATTCATTTGGAAATGGGACTAGTCAATTGGTACAACCCATACCAACACTTGATTCACATGTACAAAACCAATTTTTAAATCCATGGTGGAAGAATCAAGAGAACAATATCATTGCACATGCTAAATAGATCCAAAACTAAACTTGTTCATACGTGTAACTGAGTTTAACAATGTGGAGCTACTTTTCACATGCCCATGATTTAGCTAGGCCAAGATCTCAGTCACTAGGTCAACTCAAAACTTGCGATGAAGTACTTGAATATTGCCTGCCCCAATCATCTAAGACAGACACAAATGAATCAATATTTCATTCTATATTAATCCAGATGTGAACACTAGAAAAGATAAGTATATCTTAGAATTCATCAAATTTGAGTAAATCTGCAATGTGAGATTAATCAAGACTAGATCTTAACATCTTACATGCCTCAACATCGCACTGAATATTTCAAATCCTCCTACTCTGGATCAAGGCTACTACAACTTCAACTTGCCAACCATGATATCCTAATATTCTCACGATTCAACATAGGATCATCTCACACAAATTTCTCCAATATCTAGAGAAGTCTTTGTATCTGTCACATAACAACTCTACAAATTAACTATATGACACTAAAGTTATTTCAGCCTTTGAATATACTACAGAATAGCATGGTCTCGATCTTAAATCTCGACATTGGCTGGTAAGGGATCAAAATGTATCACATCAAAAAAGAATTTGCACGTCAGCTAATCAACATCGGAGGTACTGACACATGGCTCTGCTAATTTTTGGCTTGTCTTGGCCAACAAAAGGGTGAGATATCCTAAAGTTATAACAAAAACATTGTAACAAAGATATTCTAAAGTTCCTCAAGTTCATTGTAACAAAGATAAAACCAAAACTGCACATCACAAATTTTTCGATTGGCATTATTTGAAGTTCAAATGGTTAACATACTTTAATAATGCTAGCAATCATAGAGCAATGAAGTACCTACCATACACCTATTGCAGCAAGAACAATATATAAGGTTGTACCCCACATAAAATGCAATGTAGCAAAGTACTTAGAATAGAAACTGAGGAATAATCATATAAGATAATATGTACATGCTCAAAGGAGGCCTATAGATGTTGTGGTTAAATGACGTGACTCAACTGATACTAGTGATGTGAGGAAAGATAGAGGAAGACCCAAGAAACCTTTATTAGAAGTGATAAACAAGAGTTTGAATGCACTTGATTTAACTAGAGATTTTGGTTTGTATAGAACTCAATGGCAGAAAAAGATACATATAGCCAACTCCCAATAAGAACGAGGGAAGAAAACAAGAAGTATGAAATGTAAGAAGCCAGTTGAATGGAAACTTTTAAGCAACTAGGCACAACTAAGCTAGTGTACGAATAGCATATTGCCAACAACTGTAATGCAGATATTCACCAACTTACCTCTTCATCATCCAATGCAATTAAATTGCCATAGATCCAAAACTTGCAGCAAAACTGAAGAGAGGAACAAAAGTAAATGACAGCATACCAATAACAAGAAACTGTGATTCTGATTTCTCTCAATCCAAATCTTCTTGCCGAGTTTCTGACCGCCCATCTCCTTGCCGGCCAGAATTTGCATCAGTGCCATTGCCTCCAGCATTACCATCATTCCCACCAGCAGCAGCATCGCTACCTTCAGTTTGTGCCCCAAAAATCCTAAATGGCCATGGTAGTGAAATCCTAAACCTCCTCTCAACCGTTCTTGGGCTAGGAGCACCTCCCTCAGCAAAAGCTCCAGCTGACCCACCAACGCTAACAGGATCCCTTATTCCAGCTGTTGGACGCGCTGAAAGGGCAGCTGGTGCCCCTCTACGTTGCTCATAGTCGGGATCATCAGTTGGCAGCTCATGGCGGCAAACTGGACAGGAATTATGCAATTCAAGCCATGGTAAGATGCAATCCTTGTGAAAGATATGTTTGCAAGGCATCTGCTTAGCCTCATCCCCCAACTTGAAAGTCTCCATACAAACAGAGCACTGTGCTTCATCAGAAGCAAGCAATTCAACGCTTATCTTAATGTCCGGAAGGCCAGTGATGGCAGATTTTGCCGCCGGTGGGGTGCCATAGCGATTGGGATCGTTCTCAGCAAGCTGCTGGATGAGCTGCTCAAGGCCGGGGCCGATGAAGTAATCGCCAAGGTTGCCTATGCCACCGGAAGGGCCACCCTCGATTACAACCTGGATGTTGGCACCGCCAGAGAGCAACTGTTGGAAGTAATCTTGTAGGAAGACCATCGGATTGAAAGGAGCGGCGCCGTGGGCCGCTGAGGGGGCGACAGGGCCCGAGCGGGTAACGACGAGGTCAGGACCGAGGAGGCCGGCGAGATCTCCAGGGTTCCGGAGGTCGAAGCTAGTGGCGGCGGGGGAAGATGAGGAGGAAGAGGATAAGAAGAATGGGAGAGAGGGAGAGAGGAAAAAGGCATCGGAGGAGGGGGCGAAGGGGAAGAAAGGATTAGGGTTAGGGTTCGGATTAGGAGGCTCGACCTCTTCAAGGAAGCCGCCGTGGCAGATCGGGCAAGAGATCTCCGCGGCGTTGGGGACAAGGGCTACGGTGCGGTCGCACTGGTGGCAGTAGTAGTGCTGGCGGGCGGCGCTGCCGCCGTGGGCACCGACGAAGGACATCGGCGTCGCTACCGCGGCAGTAGATGAGGAGGAAGGGAAGGAAGGAACGAGGAGCAGACGATCAGGCGACTTCGGAGACGAGAATGAAGGGGAGAGACGACGCAGAGCTATTTGACGGAGCGCAGGGAACAGCGAATGCGTCAACTGCACAGATCTCGATGAATTCCGACGGCGTTCGATAGCCCCGCCGTGCCGTGGTCCCCACATGACGTCGGAGGATGATTCTGGAAGCGCAAGGCTCCGCTCCTCGAACAACCGCTCGAACGACGCCAAGGGCGACAATGACGTGGCGGCATCGGGAGCTTATGTGGCGCCCCCGTTGGGCCACCGCGCTCGTGCTGCCAACAACCCCGTGAGAAGCTGCCAGGTCGGCTCATTTTCCCGATCCTGTTCGAGCCGAGACAGGCGAGGAGGAGTTTGTGGAGCCCCACAGGGTAGCTGATCCCCACCGAGCCCCACACGGCTCAGGCATTGAGGTGATATAAAGCTCCGCGGAACTCCGTCAGGTTGACACAACCGCCAATGGGAGCGCGGGATCGACGTCTGGCCCACATCTTTCGTGCTGCCAATAGCGCCGTGAATCGCGACCAGGTCGGCTCATTTCCGGGATCCTAGTCACGCCTACCGCAGAGGATTTCATGGCGGACAACCCTGCCAACTCATTCTCTTTGTTGTGGAGTCAGTATACACGTACGTATTAAAGAAAATAATATACATATATATATGTCTCATGGCATGAACAAATAGACATGTATAATATATATATACATATAAAATATATTATTATTATTATTAGAGATGTCGTATTGGATCAGTTCCATTTCGTTCAAACCAAAATGCACAAGAAACTTAGGTTGGATCAATAAGGTTATGGATGCTCAATGGAACATCGATATGGATAAAAATATAGGTTGAATGGAATTCCTAATATGATCTTTTTAACGTTCAAACTAATAAAAAGTAAGAATTTCGAGTAAGATAACAACATAATAATTAACCTCAATTATTATGGTCTGATTAACTCTTATAGTTGGTTTAGTTGAAACAAATAGTTTATGATATGAGCAAAATATTTATTTAAATTTTTATTTTGGGGTAATGTCTACGTGACTCAATTGTTGATTGGATTCTTAGCCTTTTCGATTTGACTTGATTGTCACGTGTTGAGTCACAATCAAGATGAATATTTTTCTTATCATTAGACCCTATCTATGAAGTTGTACTTTTTGAGTTCTCTAAAAGGATTGAAAGTATGGTCATGTATTGGCTCAGCATATTGGTAGTTAATGTATCAAGTAACCATCGTTATTTTGTCCAAGAAACATTAAGTAACGACATATCAGATAACTTATGATATTTAACCTTAAAGAAGTATCAAGCAACCTTTGATTCTTAACCCAAGAAAGGTGCATTAGATACCTTTTAATGCTTAACCCAATAAAAATGTATTAAGCGTATTTTGATGCTTAGCTAAAAAATGATGCATCAAGCATACTTTCCAAACTAGATCGGATCAATGCTTGTGTTGGCCAATGTTAGTAAAAGTGTTGACTTAGTGAGTCTAATTGATGCTTGTGTTGGCCAATGCTAGAAAAACTTTGATGGGACACTTGGGAGTTTAAGTGGTGCTTGGGGCTAAAGTGGGTTCTCTATAGCAACGTGGCTCATTCTATGATATGAGTCATCTCTTATGTATTTGAACTTTTTATCCTCACGTTTAACCTTCCGAACCTTTGAAGCACTATCCCTCACTCCTAGTTTGTGTCAAGTAAGGAAGATTTCTCTATCTTTGTTATTTGAATTTCATCCCCTCGGCCAACATGTGATTGAGGGGGTGAAAGTTTTATTATCAGAAAGTCCAAAATCAAAAGAAGTGTGCCTTCCTCCTTCTCTAAGGACACAATAAGTGGACCCAAAGATCAATCATTTAGGATCTCAAATTATGGAGAATGCCTCTAATTAGGATTCCACTCTAACTCTTGAGTATCTAAAGCACTTGCACCTCATGTACTCTATCTTGGTCAAGGTTGTCTTGTTATCACAAGCTAGGTAGTGTTTGTATGTTTAGATATATAGGTCTCTTTGCTTGAACATCAATATGCTAAAGGTTAGGCTCATGTTCCCCCTCCATCTTATTAGTGATGGCGTGGCTTTAGTGGTGGATGATATCACTATTGTCTAACTCATTGTGTTATCTAATGACCTTTATCGATGAATGATGCTATGTTGACATCACTCCAATTTTGAACATATTTTATTCCTACTTCTAAGTCTGCAAGAGGGTCAATAGCTATCATCACTCAAGATGGGTTTGAGATGAAGGGGGTTCCAACTTCTAATAAGGGTTGAAACGGATAGTACTTTATCTAGAAGCAATTTGGAGTGAGGCTTCGATATGACTTGTTTAGCAAACACAATCACTAACACCCGCCCTTTCCTTGCTACCAAGGAGAAGGGTCACATACTTTGATTGGGAGAGTTCTTATATTTTTTTTCCTAAGCCATCAGACGTATGGATGAAAATTAGCTAATCGACATCAGCCTAAGCCCAACACCTTCGGTATACTTCGTCATTCCTTTCTTTATTCTTTTCCCGATACAACACTTAATACATTTCTTTATTCTACAGGCGGCATGAATCTCAAGGCATTACATAAGAGGAAATCAATGACATTCACTTTGAGTGGTCCGACCCCCTTCACCTCAGTTACAATGGGCTCCTATATCGAATCATTAATGTTAGCATGACAAATCATGCATAAGTATGTCATGGATTAACTCTTCATTTTAATTATGAAATTTACTATAAAAGGCTCTTATGCGAATCCTTTAACTATACGAGAATATTTATATATTTTTTAGATCTCTCAGATGTGCCATTAACTTAAAAAAGTATATCCTCAATATATATTTTGTATAATCATCCATCGAATCCTCACATAAGTGAGCTTAAACATTTGATTTAGACCGAATGAAACTCTTAAATTATCAAATAATTAAAATATAAATTAATAAAACTTAAAAATAAAGAAATTACCAAACATGACACGTTAATTTTGAGGGAGAATATATTAGGCATGCCATATATGCTTATCATATTTATTCTCATTATATGCTTATCGTATATGTCTGACTAAATGAATACTGACATGCTTTACATGTTATAGGGATTTATGAGATACAAATATCTTTTATTTTCAAACATGAAAAAAAATAAAATACAAATATTTTTCATTTCTAATTAATTTTCTAAAATCAAATTGATAATTAAAATTGATCGTATTAATTATTAATTATCAATCATCGTTTTGTCAAATTATAACTCGACATCTCATCAGTACAACAGAATAAAATGGTGTCGCTCGCTCTTCGCCACAACCGACACCGCTTGAAACCGCCTTCGAGAGAGGAGAGAGAACGCGTTCCGCTTGACGATGGCGGCCGGGGTTTTGAGGGGCTACCTGAAGGATGCGTCGTTCAATAAGGTCGAGCTGAGATGTGGCGTCGGGCCAAGGCGTTACAGCACGGCTTCGGAAGACTCGTCCAAGAAGGTAACAAGCTTTTGGCTTCCTTGAGCATTTCGTCAAACAGGTGGTCGTTGGTTTGTCACGTTTTTTTTAATATCGTCGGCTTCTTAGGTCTCATCTGCATTTCTAGAATTGATTGACGTTACGTGGTGTTATGCTCATTAAGAATGTTGGGTTTTGGTTGGTTCTTGACCTCATGTGCGGAACACAGTGAATGAACGTTTGTAATGTGTATCGCCGAAACTATGGCGTACTTGAAATTGATGATTGATTGTTTTATGATTAATTGGTGGAGATCTTGGGGTATGCTCTCCAATAGTGAAGGTATTGTGCTGTTATAAACCGCTGTGGGTTCAATAGTGAAGGTATTGTGGTAGTTGCAAAGCGTCTTGGAGCTCAGCATGGTAAGAGGAAAATGGAAGAAATTTCAAGTACTTCACCATCATTGACTGAGGAAGTTAAGCATGGAGGGAAAGCAGGTTCTGGCATTTTGGGAGTCAATATTGGCAATAACAAAACAATTGAAGATGCAGTTTCAGATTATGTTAAAGGGGTTCATACTTTATCACAATTTGCTGATTACTTGGTATTTTTCTTGTTCATGTTCAGATTGTTCTGACACTGGATTAATTACTTTCTTTGTATGTTTTAGCCAGTGAGTTTCAATCACGCACCATTTTACATTTAGGTGAAGTCTTGTTTTATGTTCTTTAACAATTCTTTATTTATGATCTTTTTAACTTTAAGCTTTTTCTATTACTGCATTCTTGTGTATTGTTTGCATTTTTTGCTTTACAATTATCACTTTAAGCTACGTGGATTATCTAACAGTTAAATCATCTAATTCAAATAGAAGGTCATATGTAGTTTTTTTAGTTTCCATTGATATAGAATTTTTCAGTCGATACTTGTTGGATGAAAGTCTCATTTGTCAGCAAATCTGGAGCCTTGGAAATGGTTCCAACACATACAGCATTATCATCATAGCATCTTCAACTGACTTTCTTCACCTAAGACTTGAACTCCCACAACAAGTCATTGTGGCTTCTTGATGTCTCTAGTACAATATTTGACAATTTATGCAAGAATTTTATCACATCTTGACAAGTTATATTCATGCATTCTGTTAACCATCATGTGTTAACCACTTTGATAAGACCTGCACCAACATAAGGTGAAGTGTTATCACTTCTTTTCTTGGAACTACCTGTAACCACCAAACCTAACGCCCACTTCTCTCCTATAAACAGGAGTAGGAAGCTATGGGCATTTTTGGAGGAAATATTCTGGTTTTTCAATTTCCTTATAACCATGTTGCTGACAATCAATCAAGAGAGATGATGTTGGACTTCTACTTTAAGCCTGACTGCCGAAATCATTAGATAATGTTTTTTCTTTTCCTATTTGCTGTGTATGATTGCTTTAAGTTGAAAAATCCATTATCAGGGGTTTTCCATGCATGGATGTAATTGAAGTTAATTTGTTATCCTATTGAACTCCGCAAATATGAACCTAATTTTTTTTTAATGCACGGTCTGCAAAAAAGACTCTTATCATGATTGGAATGACCTTGATAATGAAATTCTCTTTATCATTGAATATACTCTTCATATATATGTTAACATTATTTGTGATGAGATCTCCTAAATTGCATTTTAAAATATAATCAATTATATGATAAGAATATATTCCACCAACACTCTCCTATAAAATTCAAGTTCACTTGGAGGTTACCAGTTTTCATGACTATTCTGCTTATCTAGTTATGCTATCTTTTTAATTAGATCTAGCTAATGGTGTTTAATGCTAAAATTATCTTGAATCATTCTTGTAAGTATTTGTAGCATAACATCAAATACCATTTCAGGTGATAAACATTTCTTCACTGAATACTCCTGGCCTTTGCAAACTTCAAGGAAGAAAACAACTGGAAGAACTTGTCAAAAAGGTTAGAAAGTTGAAAATCTTATGTATCCTTTTACAGTTCTTCTCTTTGATTATTATGATTGGCGTATAAGTGCAAGCTAGCCGACCCCAAATAGTTGAAACTTATAGTTTTGTTGTTGTTGTATATAGGTGCAAGCTGCTCGTGATAAGATGCAATGGGCAGAAGAGGGCCCACTGCCCTTGGTTGTGAAAATTGCTCCCGACTTGTCTAAAGAGGATATTTAGGACATAGCAGCTGTAAGCTGTAAGATGGTCCTCTTTTGCCCTATCATAAATAGTACATACTCTTATCATTTCATTTTGTTGACTTTTAGGTTGCTCTTGCTCTCCATTTGGATGGATTGGTAAGCTTCTCTGATCTTCTTGAAGCATTATTTTTTTGTACTTGAAATTTGATAGACAGTGTAGCTAACTACACGTGTTGGATTCCGTTTGTATTGGGACTAATTACAGTGTAACTAATCTGGTATGGACTGGTATTTACCAGTCCGACTGAGTACCGGTATTGGAACACATACCTCAACTGTTACCACACCGTTCATTTTTTATTATTTATCATTTTAAGCATATTGCTTGGTATACCAGTGCCATACTTGTTATTAGGTTAAGGAGACCAGTATTGGACTGACTTTTAAATCCTCGGTTTAGACATACTTGATACCATCAAGTATTTCTTTTTGATGCCATGGAGTGATTATTCATTATGCTCTTATTTCACTTATTTCTTTTTGATCTCGTGTGATGTCCTTGAGGATCCTTTTAGTCTTGGATAGCAAATATTTCATGGAGGGTCCCATTTTTTCAATTGCCTCCTGAATAATTTTTTTAAAAAAAGAGCAAAAATAACACAAAATTACTTGTTTCTCTGCATTTCTAAGGCAGCATTATTTCCATTGCAGAGTTATAGAATTATGAACATTCTTGTGTAGTTACATCTTCTCAATTTTAGCTATAAACCATCACCAACAGTTGCAATAATTCATAGAAGGCCTTCTTTACCATTGTCAGAGCAGTTGTTTTTATATGAAAATTTTCAAGTATGAAAGTAAGCAACTACAGGAATTTTGCTTAGATTTGTAATTTCTTGAAGCGGAAAGTTTGAAGCATGATCATAAACGACTGTAGTTCACGAAGATTCTGAAGTTCCTCAATCTTCAGCCTTACCTTGTCTTTCCTTTATGCTGGCTAGCAGTAAGTATGGCAATTAACTTGGCTAGTGTAATTATGAACTATGAAGTTGCAGGAAGTCTGAAGTTCTTTTTCTTCAGCTTAGTTTATTCTTTTGTTTGTTCCAACTACTGGTAGTTACAGCAACTAACTTGGCTAGCATAATCATGAGCAATTTCTCTGCAGATTATATCAAATACAACTATTTCAAGACCAGATCCTGTAACTAGTCACCCATTAGCTGGAGAATCTGGTGGTTTAAGTGGAAAGCCACTCTTTGATATGTCCACTAGCATTCTCAAGGAGATGTATATTCTCACTCAGGTACTTCTCCACATTCTTAATTTATTTAACTGGGAAACTGCCCTTCACCCTGAATTTATTTGTCCACGTGTTGTTTCTTGCCTATGACATGACCAATTTCTATCTTTCAATCTTAATTGATGGTGCCAATTTCTTTTAATTTTTACAGGGGAAGATTCCACTTATAGGCTGTGGGGGTGTAAGCAAGTAATATGAGATTATATTTAATTTTAAATTCGCTGGTTGCTTGAACAAAATCTCTTTTAAACTCTGTGTAAGTGTTTGCCGAAATGCAGTGGTGAAGATGCATACAAGAAGATTCGAGCTGGAGCAACACTTGTCCAATTGTATACAGCTTTTGCTTATGATGGACCTTCATTAATTCCACAAATAAAGGTTTGCACTAATACTGATGAAGTTTTTGGTCATTTAACTTATTAAAGTACATGAAAGTCCAACTTGGTTTTATAACCTATTATCGAGCAAATTTGGTTGTCAAATATATGTTTCATCTTCTTAGTTTTAGGTCAGATAATACTATTATTCTATCTCCTTGAAGGAGAAAACTTGCGACTCACCTTTCTATGAAACTGTGCCGACTTGTGTTTTTATTTTTTGCTTCATTTTTCATTCTGCTTTATTTTCTGGTGCATACCCATGGATTATCCATTGTACCTTTTTTGTCCCAAGTTTGCCATCCTTGGTGAGACAAATGACGAACTAACCTAATTGACGCTTGATGTCTTTGCTGAGAGGTGACATAAATAAGATTTAATGTTAGGATGCAAAAACATGGATCTATTGGGCCTTGCAAATATGAAGATGACAAGAGTTTTATGGGTTTTTGGGTTTATACACACATTGTAGCTCTCACAGATAGATAAATATTTGCTACAAAGATAAAATTGCAAATTGTTTGTTATGCCTGTTTAACTAACTAATCTGGTTAGCTCTCTCGAAATGTGTTTTCTCTTATTAAAAATGATATAGATACTATTCTGTTTAATTAGTCTCTTTCATCATGTGTTTTCGCTTATTGAAAATGATGAAAATTATTCTAAATTAGTTTTAAACATGTCATGATATTTTAGTCTGTTATCACATTTTACCCATCCAAACAACTCTTTTGGTAAATCCTTTAGATATACTGCTAATACTATGATAATTTATTGTGAACGAATCTCAGTAATTTTCAACAAATTTCTTGAGATTCTCAGTCAGTAGCTATCCACAAAACATTATGAGGTTGCAAATTAATCCATTACAAGAATGAGGAACATTATGTATATACCTAAAACAATGATATGGTGTACAAGACTCATTTAACAGATGGTCGAGTGTTCAAACCTCATCCAATCTATTGAAGCTATACGTCGACTTAGTTGCTGAAGGCTTTGACCTTGATTGCAGGTACCATTTACCCTTTGCAAAAAACCAGAAAATGTAATCAACAAGCTGAAAATGGTATCCTCTATATGTTTGGAAGCATAAGAAGTGAAAAGGCTGACAACAGAGAGCTTTCTCAAATTCTATATAATTATGAAAAATTGAAAATCCATAGCCAAACTAAATAGGATCCCGATCGTGGACCTGTTATGTTGGCCAAACTAACCTAATCATATCTACCTAAATCCATCAGTTCTCTTTCTCTGTGAGTTCTTATTTCTAAATGTGTAGCATTTCATATAAAAAATCTAGTCAACAGCTGTACAAGAACCCGTGGTGTAGGCCAATATGGAAGCTTCCCTTGATATATTTGACCCTTGCACAGCAACAGATCATAATATAATGAAATTGTATAGAAACATTTATAATAAATTATAGATCCAGACTAGGGGAACCAATCAAGACCCATAATTTGCTTGTGTCAAACTTCAAAACCTCCGAATAAACCTGATTGCATAACTTAACTGGCCAAGTCATAATTGAAGGTGGTAAAGTTAAGGAATCATCTTATATCAATATGAAATTTTGGACACATACAAATATGATGAATTCTATTATCGTAACTATTTAGTTGTACTTTGCTTTCAATTATCCTAAAATGTAAATATGTTTTGTTGCTGCTATTCTGAATCGGCAAAATGGAATCCTGATGCTTTTTACCAGGCTGAACTGGCGGAGTGCTTGGAACGAGATGGTTTCAAATCTGTTCAAGAAGCAGTTGGTGCAGATTGTAAATAAGCATTGCATAGTTCCTGGATTATCAATTGCTCAGTGAATGTTCTTGCTGGTTGCAAGCATCATCCGACCATTGATCCTACAAGCCATCAGTCCCCAAGTCATCTGAACGAGTTCAATAAGTACAATTTACACTGAATAAGATTTGGTGGTTTCACTTGTATTTTTTTAATATTGACAATTGATCAGCTTTGGGTTCCAAACCTCTCAGAACATTGTTCTTTCTCCTCTCCGAACCAGGTATGAAACTTTGGCTGATATATTGCAGAAGATATTGATACTAAATGTCTTTGTTCACCGGAGCAGGAGCTGGCATACAACAACAGATCCGGCTCCTCCTCCTCCTGAAACTCCATCACTTGTTCTTGCCCGAACTCCCTTTAGCCCTGAGTCTTGTTGAGCCGAGTCAACTCAAAATTACATTGCTGGTGATTTCAAATTTTGTAATGTTTTTATCACTGGTTAGTTTTACAATACAGACTTCTAAACGAGGGGAAATATTTCATGGCCTTTGAATATTTGCAGTTTTGTCGTGGAGAAAGGCAACATTTTCAGTCATTTTTTACTTTGCTGCTCACAACATATACTTGTAGTTCTCTTGAGTTTGTTCTAGATGATTCTCGGTCAGCAGTTTATATTTACACGTCGCGCCTGCGTAAGCTAAATCTTTGATGGCGGACCTGCTGAAGAAGGTATGGCTTAACCTCAGGAAGCATTTCAGTGCTGTTGCCTTCCAACTGCAGGATTTCACGCTCCGAAATATGTCTGTGTTTTTTTTTCTGTTTGTTTGTTTGTGCAGATCCGGATTTGTGGAGCTACACAAGATTACGAGAAGACTGTTTCTTGAAGGTCTTGGTCATCCAAAGGTTCATCTTCATCACTTACTAATTTTCTAACGAAAATTTATTTATTTATTTATTTACAAAAGGGCAGTTATGGCAAGAGGATCACACGATTTTAGTTATGCGAAAAACTATTTACAACATTTATTGATGAGCAAAAACTAAATACAGCCTCTTCCTTCCCCTTCCTGGGTTTCTTTGACATGACAGGACAGGACAGGACGGGACGGGACCAGCCTTCACCTCACGAGTCCAAGGTTGGCGATGCCCCACGACGAGTGGGGCCATGTCTTCTCCTTCGCCTTGGCCGACAACACCCTCCCCCACGCCACCCATCCCTCCCAACTCATCCTCTTGTCCCAGCTGCTCCCCCACTCCAGCAACAGCCTCAGCCCCTTCCCCGCCGCCGCCTCCGCCTCCTCGTACTTCCCCTGGTTCATGTACACCTGCCCTAACACCAGATGCGGCTCCCCCACGAAGGGATTCCTCCTTATGCTCTCCCCCAACAGCCCCTCCACCTTCTCCCACCCCTTCTCCCCTTCCTTCTCCCAGTCCCCACATATCGCCTCCCAGTAGTAATCCCTACCGACTGTTTGATCCTTTGCTTCCAACACTTTGGTGCAGTTGTCGAACACTGGGGGGATCATCAGCTCCATCTCCTCTTCCCTTCCGGGCATCGGCAACCCCTCGTCCCTGCTCATCCTCTTCCTCTCCTCCAGGTATATCTCCTCCTCCCTCGCTATCAGCGTGTAGAGTGCCCCCATCCTCGACAGCGAGTTCATATACAGGCCCGGCTTCCCTGTTCCCGGCCACAGCGCCGTCCACGCGTTGCCGTTGAGCTCCAGCCGCCCGTTCTCGTTCTCGAACAGCTTGTCCTGGAAATCCATATACTGGTCGCTGAAGTCGGCGATGGTCATCAGCAGAAAGGTCGCCACCACCCTTCTCGGCACCACAGTGTCCTCGCCCGTCCTGATGTGTTTCACGATCATCCCCTCCGCCGGGACCAGCGACCGCAGCTTTCTCCGCCACGGCTCCGACTCGTCGAACGCGCCCCTCTCCTTCGCGGCTCGGAGCGAAGCCTCCGAGCGCTCGAGGTGCTCGACGAGCTCGTCGTCGGAGTAGCGGAAGAGGAGGTCGTCGTGGATGAGGGTCTGGCGCGGCACGACGCAGAAGAGGTGCACGAGGCGCTCCGCCGGGCCGCCAATGATGCCGCGGACGCGGTCGCGGCCGGTGCTGGGGTCGAAGATGGCGAGGTTGACGTAGGAGTTGGAGTAGGCGGAGTGGTAGAGGCCGCAGCGGGCGACGGCATCGGGGGCGCACCACAGTTTGAGGATGCGGTAGACATCGGTGAGGTGGGCGAGGAAGCTGCCGTGCTTGTGGTAGCACTCGCCAGCTCCGGCGGAACGGAGGACGGTGACGAGGGAGGGCAGATCGGGATCTACCTTGTCCAGCTCCTCTCGGAGGAACGGCCGCGCGGCCTCGAGGAGCGCCGGTAAGTCTCTCTTGTGAGGGACGGTGGAAGGAGACGAAGAGTTGTAGGAAGGCATACTCAGTCTTGGGTCGATGTAGATATGTATGTGAGAAGCGTGGCGACGAAGGTTTTGGCCGAGTAGACTTATATAGAGGTGGGAGGGAGAGCCTTAGCGGATAAAGTGATAATGATGATGATATTGATAGTAATAATAATAATAATAATAATAGTCATATATATATAATAATGTATAATATTGGCAAGCATAAGGGTCCAACAACTAGTATAAGTAATAAATGGCTACCGGCGATTTTCAACAAATCTTTCATACCATGTATGAAAGATTTAAATATTTGAATTTAAAATTCTAAAGGGATTATATAAATACAATATTTACAAACAAATTTTGTGAAACCTCCATTCCGAAATGTTAGACCCAACATCCGCCCGTGGCCTAACAGCCGCTAACGTTTTCCAGGATCTCTAATTCACAAAAGAATAGATTCATAATTTTGGAAACCCAACAATTGCTTATTTTTCATGTAACTAAAACAAGCCAAAACACAGAAAAATTCACAAATTCTAAAAACAAAATCTAAATATATAGAAACTTACCTGCCTCAATACACGACCTTAGGCTCATGTTGTTAATTTTTTTTGTACTTGTAATATTTATCATCGTAGTAATCTTATGTCTTTTTATTAACATCATTAAAACGACAAAAAGTATTTATATTGCTGACCAAAGATAACAAACATTATTATGCACTCTTTTCCGAAACACTTAATTCCATACAGCATTTAAGAAGGCCCAACTCAGACATTGATGAGGAACCTACTTGCCACGTGATCAAACTATAGACTTGACCTTCTTGCCGTAGAAGGAACCAATAAAGCACCAGCCATTACGCTGCATCCGTTGCTTCAAGAACAGATTACCACGACCACAGATCGTATAGGCTCTCCGTTGGTTCCTAAAACATGTTGCGGGTTGAAACACGGTAAGGCAAAGAAAGAGGCCTTAATTTTGGGCTTCGAAATCTGCAAGCAAATCATCTTGATGATCTATTAATGTAGTTCAATAGCTATTCTACAAAGACACATTTTATAAGAACATGACATAGCAGCTTGTGGCAGACAAACAAACAATGTTCCCCGACACTCCATTCACAGCAAGAGTGAGTGACCTGGAACATAAGATGAAGTGCACCTTAAATCTAGGAGCATTAAACCGTGGAAGAATCCCTTAAAATGACACATCTAGATATGTCGAAAAAAATACCTATATGCTGAACGCTAAGAAGGGTAAGCTTTAAGCAAAAGACCAGGCCACATGGTCTAGAACTTGAAATCTTTCTTCTTCGATTTCCCTTCCTTCTCCTTGCGCTTTCTTTTGTTTGCCGCTTGCTGCAGTTAACAAGTCATCATAGAGAAATCAGTCTGACACCCACCACAGCAAGAGAGAAGAAGTACAAGGAAAAAAGAAGAGAAAAAGCGTAGAGAGCCAGAAGCAGACCTCTGCAACCATATCGCTGAAGTCCTCCTTCTGGTTCCGTACCTTCTCTTCCTCTCGTGCTTCTTCATACCTATCACATAAAAGCAGAACTAATTAGGAGAATTTTCCAAGCAAACAGTAACAGTTTTTTATAAGCATTTTGAGTGGTTCCCCTTTACTTGGCTGCCAAAACATCGTCCATAACTTCCAGCTCTTCTGGTTGTATGGTGACATCCACCTTGTCTGATTTTTGACCCCGTAAAAGATCAACCTGAGGGTTAAAATGTAAACAATCTTCAATACTTAAAGGAATGAACAAAAGTATTGTAACCAAAATTGATACATGTACTGAGAAAAGAAAGTGAAAAAACATATTAGAAAGCCTCACCCTTTTTGCAGCTGTTTTATCTTGCGCCCCAAGCACATACCTGTATCGAAAAAATAAAAAATAAAAAATATATCAGCACATTTTGACATTGGCATGAGTCGGCACGACTAAGGCAGACACTTACGTGTGGGTTGTTCCCAGCAGAGTCCCAGGAACAATTCTTTCTTCCTTCTCTTCAAGTACCTTCGAAAAACATAGTGGCGTGTGAGAAATATCACAGGTCAAGGTCAAAGAGAACACTAAACACTATATCTGCACCATACGTCTATGCAAAGAACAAGAACCGAAACTTATTTACTTGATAAAGTGGTTTCTCAGGCTCCTTCCTCTGTTGCTTCCTCAAGTCAATCACATCAGGTGTTTCTACACCGGTGGGAGTGCTGAATAGCGAAACAATGACATTAGATAATGTGCATATATAACAATACAAAACATAAGAAAGACTATGAAGCACCTTGAAAGGCTGTCAACAGACTGAATGCCAGCCTCCAATTCCTCTTCTTCCATCTCTTCCTCCTCTTCCTCTTCCTCCTCTTCTTCCTCTTCTTCCTCCAAATCTCCCCAGTGTTTGCTCCGATCAACCGGTTCTTCCTAAAATTTGAAAAACAAAAATTAAAAGATAACAGACGACCAATTTGTAAGTTAAGCAGCAAGTCTCTATCCTTCTAGCTAAATAACAAATGAGCTAGTTAATTATTTATTGATCTCCGTTCAACCTTCATATCCAATGGAAAAAGGGGTAGAACACGTCTGCAAAGTTACCTCATAATTAAGTTGCTCCTGCTGCAGTACCCCAAAAACATCGCCATATAATGGGCGTCCATACTGATCACCATAAAATAAAAAAATTTAAAAAAGATCACCTCGGAGAGGGAACAAAAAAGCAGCAACGCAATGCAATTATGTGAAGTAAATAGTCCTGAAGATCGAGGAGATGCTTACTTCATCAACTGGAGGTTTACCCCAACCTCCAGGATGATAACCAAAGCTGGCTCCAGGAGGGATGGGAGCATTTAGCCCAGGTATCTTCAAGTGAGGGTAGGATGGAGGTGGGCCATACCTCTGACACAAAATAGTTGCTATTAGTGTCATTAAAGTAAAAAAAACAATAGAAGAAAATGGCGAAGCTAATAAACGAATTAAACAATTGACCTGCATATTAATAAGCCATGGAGGCGGTGCACCATCAGGCATCCCTAGTGCTTCTTTGAGTTCCCTTGACAACATTCCTGGCTTCATTTCCCTAAGTTTGAACTGTCCAGGAGCAAACGAGACCATTATTTTATGCTGGATGTTTCAACCAAAATAGACTAAACAACCATTCCAACTGCAACAGAAGAACATTTCAAAGCTTCCCACAATCTTTATCAAACTAAAGTTCATAATAACAGAAGATATGCTCAAAAGAAGTAATAAGTTTATACTTTAGCAGTCAAGAGACTCTAACCAAATTAAGGCACCATCCAAATCCTTAATCATTACCATAAGATTGCATATACTTAAGGACATATCAAAACAGGATAACATTAATCAGCACAAGTAAGCTTCGATGCTTGAAGACATGTCAAAACATAAACATAAAGCAACACGGTAAATCATGTGGACAAAATAGGAACAGAGTGAGCCCTTATCATGGAAAGTTTATGAGAGCTGTGGACTGGCATGATGATGTAATAGCACAAGTCAATGAACATAGTTCATCAACGGCAAAGAGAAGATAGTGTAGACATCATGAATTTTCAAGGAGATCTTTTGAAACATACTAAAAGAAATAAAACAATACATTAAAAAAATATAGTCAGCATTCTGTCAATACAACACTCATAAAAAATGAAGGAAATAATTTTCACTTGTATAAATTGTCAGAAAAATGATAATATCCATAAAAGAATGTGCCAATCTATCAAGCGATGGTCTTTTCTTGTGTTTCAAGAAAAAAGTTGTCACAATCAAGGCTGCAGCGTGTTTTTGGCAGAATGCACATAAGTGAACATCTCAAAACAAGGTATTCCAATAGGATATAAATCAATATATGTGTAAATAATAGAACCTCAAATTCTTTTCCTTCATAGTATAGATCTCCATGTGTTGTCAGCTTTGGTTTGGTCTGATACTTGAAAAATGCATCATGAAGGACCTGCAATCAAATACAATTAGGATTTAATATATTATTCACACCTCCCCATTCTCTGCACCAAGAGCAAGCAAGCTAGAGGGAGTGAAAGAGCTGGAAAGCAAGGGAGGGAGTGGGATGACAGAGGGATATGGAAGAAAAATCACAAGAGCAATCAATTTTAGATCAAACCTGATAATCAATATCCATCTTTCCCATCTTTGGTTGCATGCGCTCACGCTGTTTCTGTTTTAGCTTCTTGCTATCCTCTTTCTCAATGTATGCCTGGAAAAATAAAAAATAAATAGATGAAAAAACAAATCCAGAATATGGGAGTTCATTCAAATGACCATTCAGAATCACCCATATTTCTAGACAATTTAATTGAAAAAACACATAACTATCAAATAACTACTATTGCATAGCAAAATTAAATAAAATGATCTTTCACTTGAAACCAAGAACCTAGAATTTCAATATCATGAGTTACTTGGTACCTGTCTTATTTTCTCTATTCCAGTTGCAGCAATGAAGTCAGGAAGGTGAAAAGGTTGTTTTTCAATACCTCGTTTTCCCTGCCAATTATCAGAAGACAAATATAAAACCCAGATACATCAAAATGTACAAATGATAAATTGTGGCATATTTTAAAAAGCCCAAAATGCAATTGAAATCTGAAGGAGGTTTGACATCTCAAAATATCTGCAATACCAAAAACAAGATAACTCAGTTTAAGTCCGATAAATAACCTTTTTTTTTTTACTTCAAGTAACACAAATATGCATGTTTCATCACTGTTATTAGGACGTCAGCAATTTAGCATCACACAGTTGCGTAAAGCATAGAATCTAGTGTAATCATATGCATCTATCTAGACCCCACCAATCTATCATTGTGTTAAAAAAAAACCATCAGATGTCCTCTCGCAATTACCATCATGTCCAGGCTCAGACAATGTTACAGCTGTTCCCTGCAAGAAATTATGCATATGTATAAGAGGGTTATCAACACCATTTGCCCTCACCACTGACAACATAATTAAAAAATGCACATACACCATCATTAAAAATGCACATACATTCTTCATCAAATTCATGTCAGATGCTATGTCTCACCTGTAAAAACTTCCGCTTTTGGCACCAGTGCCTTGGAACAGGCACAGTATTTCGATACGACTTAAGAAATACAAGTAGCTTTGGATCTGCTGCGGTTGCATCCCAAACCTGAAAATAAATTAACAAGAAAGAGTTTAGAGATATAAAATAGTCCAAAAGAACAACCTATAATCTGAAAAATTAACATATGCCAATAGAAGGAACAAATGCTGATTGTAAATTGCAATCAACAGTCAAATCCTTGAAAGTTTGCTGCAGTAAACAAAGGGAACTAAATGGAAAAAGTTGATATAGCATAAAAAGAGACTAGAAAACATCAATTGGATCATAATCTCTTAGGTACAATCTCATACAGAAAACCCTTGCTCTATGATTCCTACAAACCTGAAACATATGAACACAATCATCAAGAACCACAGGCAAGCTTGGTCGTTCCTGACCAAGACCTAATAATTAGGACAAAACCGATGGGAACCAGACTTATAACTTCATGAGTTTCCAGGTTACTGAGTAAAGAAAATGTTTGGTGGTGTAACAAAAGAAGCATTTCTTATTTTAAGCATCCTAATAATAATTAATGTTGCCATACAATAATTATACAACACATTTTTGCTCAGCAGGAAAGGCATGCATAAAAGCATAAAGCAAAAGAAAACATCTAATCTTGGACACTAGCCACCATTAATAGCATGGCCCATAAACCAACAAAAAGAGGGGCAACCATTTGGCTGTTTGCTTGTAGGCAAAATAAGTCTTCACCATTTAGATTGCTAAACATTACAAAAAGTAACACCATCCTGGTTTAATTAACTTTTTTCAGATTGCTTTACACCACATAGGTTCTTAAACATTTTAGCCATTAATTTTTTAGAAGTAAATAGTTTTTTTGTTATGTTCCCAAATCAATGAATTTTTTTTAACCTTCACGTAGCTTTATGCCACATTGGCTCTTAACCAGTTTAGTCATTAACATTATAAGCAGAGAATAGCAGTTCCTTTTTCACCTTTCCAGTTTAAAAAAATTATTTTTCCCCTTGCCATTGCTTTAGGCCACATTGGCAATGTAAAAGGTTTGCTTCAGAGTGGCTAAAGAGTGTGAGACAAAAAAAACTTCCAAACAAGCACAGGACAACAGACTAACCCTATAACTTGATTCTCCACATATCAAGACTCTAGATGGATGGATAGTCACTATCAAGTTGGTACAAGTGTTATTATACTATCCAGAAAGTTTTGGGTGTCCATGGATGTCACTTTGAGTTGAGAGATCCCTGATAAAACTACTGAGGAAAAGATTCGTTTCCAGCATATTGTCAATATGTTACCCATTGTGAGTTCCGAAGAATATCCTCAGCTAAATGAAGGAATGAAAACCATGCACCACAACTATCACTTTCTTTATAGTCATTCGTGCCGGGATCTACACCAATAGAAGTATTCTAATAGAACAACCCTTATTATCTCTCTAGTATCATAACAAATACTAATTCTTATTGTATAGATTGTACCAAGATCAGGCACATATCATTTGATTAAGCTTTTCTAGTTTCAAAAAAGAAAAAAAAAACCTGGTATATGTTATATTTCAAGGTAGCAGTAGAAAGTTCAAGCTAACCAGATAAAACAAAGCAGATGGTGATTGAAAAGTTATGGTAGCACTAGAAATATTATAATCTAAGCATACCTCAACTACATCTGGCCTTGAGCAAATTTGCTTCAGTTCTGCAATCTTCATTCGTTTTTGAAGCTACAAAATGTACAAATGGATAACTTCATCGAAACTCTATCTAGAAAGATGTAAGAAGTCTAACATTACTAACCTTCTTCTTCTTGTTCGAGAGTCCTTTTTCCTTCTGCTGAGTTTCCTGCTCATCCTCTTCTGTATCTGAATCTCCCTTCTTGGCTGCCGCATTGCCCATGGTCTCATCCTTTGTTGAATTATCCTGCAAGGAGAACAACAGCCATGAAAAAGATAAGACGAGATCTGAATAGCAAAGAAAAGAAGAAGAAACTTATCCTCGAGTCCAAGGTACACTTCAAAATACATTCTCCTAGTACCTCGACACCAGCATGATCTCTGAAGTTGAACTTCTCGATAACATTCTTGAATTCCTCGAAAATGCTTTCGTCTACATCAGCCTTTTCAGGAATGTACTCCACTTCCACACTCATGTTGACCTAAAGAAGCTCAGCAAACAATAGGATAAGTAACAAAACAAAACAAGGTATCAACCAGAAGCACCACCACCTATACAATTCGTATACACTGAGATGCATACAAGAAACCCTAATTATTGCCAAATACTGTTGGATGCCATGGATCAATAATAGCACAGGCATAGTTGCAAAAGTATCATAGGGGATTTAGAATCAATGAACCAAAACAATAGAAATAAAAATAACAAAATTCAAAGAATGTATATGCAATAACCTGAATAATTATAATAAAAGTAAAGAAGGTCAATCATACAACAGTTTTGGATCGACTGAGGAGGAAACAAGAAACCCTAACTATTCTCGGATACTTAGAATGACTTGAATCAACCGAAATCAAACAGAAACATCGCCCTCACAGATAATACCACGAAGATAGTTAAGCACCGAAATCAAGAGAAACCCTAATAGTGGTGGGACACACCATCAGAAGACATGGTAATACTACCTCGGGGTAATCATTGCGCTCGTCCTCAGCTGCGCCTATTTCCCCTCCCTCTACTCCCCTCTTCTCGCCGTCGTCGGCCAAGGAGACAGAGGATTTACTGTCGTTCTTCTTCTGCTTCCGCCTACGGCGGCGGCGCTCGCTTTCTCGGACCTTTTTCCTCTCGGAGGCAGCGGCGGAGGCGCCATTGATCGGTGGATCTCTGGCTACGCCACCGTCGGGGATCTGGGATCGGCTAACGAGCTCGCCTAAGGCCATCGTCGAGCGCAGGGTTCCGATAAAGGAGAACCGGCCAAGGGGAAGACGGTTCGCATGATTCCGCCACTCGTGGCGCTCTTATAGCACCCTTCTTTTCTGTATGACAGAATTACCCCTATACAAAATGTGAATTGACCGGATCAATTTGCTCCACGCATCTGGTCCGATCCGATCAAGATCCGTAGACCCATTTGAACCAAACCCAATTTAAGATGTCCACACACAACCAAAATTGCAAGGCCGAACCTGCCTGATATATGGGTTTGGTTCGTCCTTTTCTTCGATCCAATTACCTTTTTGGCAGCTCTTAATTTGTTATTTTTTTATTTATTAATGTTAAATGGCAGTATACGTGGCTTGTGACCCCCCAATTTAATATCAAATTAATGAGTCAATTTCAATTACTCGATCTGACTACCTTATATGGTAAATTTATTATTTGTATTAATAATTATGTCAATCCATAATTTTGATGCTGTATTAATTTTGGACAATTCTAATAGAGGATATATTTATCACCAATCACGACTAGCAACATAGTCAGTAGAAAAAGATCCCAATTAATAATTCAACCCCATGAATACTCGAGTTATAGTGATGAATGTTAAGAATGTTTGTTATTGTTCACTCAATTTGACATGGCTGATTTCTATTAAGTTGATTATAGTATTTTTTAACATAATTACAATGTTACACTTTAGTAATAAAAAATATTGTAAGTCGCTCCTTTTTATTGTCATTCTTCCATGTCGTTTGAATATAAATACTAAAAGTCTTTTTTCAATAAATATAAAAAAAAATTGAAAACAAATTAAAATTTGTATCATCCTTTATTTAGTTTGAAATATATCAAAACTACTCAAATTACTATGTATTGATTTTTAAACTAACTAATGTTCGAATACAATATTTTAATTCAGCAATAAAAACATTCTAATTGTCATTCTCACACAATAAATAAATATCAATATATAGATCTAAATTTACGTTTAAATGAGAAAAATAATAATTTTATTATCATCTGTTTCGAAATATATGAAAACCATCTTAATTTCCATCCATAATCACTCAATCTCTTATACAAATCATTTTATAAAATCTCAAAATCTATAATAAAATCGATAATTAAAGTTATTCAAGATTCAAACTAATAATATTTTTGATTCAACAAAATTGTAACCGTATGATGTCTCAACCACTGTTATTAATGTTTATAATAAATGAAAATAGATGTTACAACTGTTAATGAACATAGTTGACAGTGCATACAGGTAGGCTAATCTCAATATAACACAAGATATAAGAAAACGCAACATCTCATGAACATGAATATAACACAAGGAAAACAGATATTATGTGATGATAATTAAAGTAAACACATGTTAATAAGTGCACCTTTTAGAGGCTTCGATGTTTCTTGTATGTTTTCAGTATTCAGAAAGGTGTATTTTACCATGGAAACATACCACGCAAAACACTGCATTAAGGAGGATTCTGACATTGTAACAGCATGCCAGATCCATCAGCCACAAGAATCCTTAGTTGAGCTTTAGAAGCACTTAAAGAGTGATCAATGCAAATGTACCTTATCAAAAGCAATACATAAATGAAATGTGATCATTTATTATAATATTTTATGCGTTTAAATTCTGGAATAATAGCAGAGATTGTTAGAATAAAAGTACAGGAGCATAGCAGAATACATGAGTAATCTGTCATCATCATAACTCTGGAACAATTTGGTCTCAGAAATGCTTCCAGCAGATCAAGGTGAATTGGTCATTCAAAAACGAATGGAAGCTTATTAAAATTTAAGAGAGAAAAAACCAACCGCGAATAGTGAAGCACGGATTTCATCCATTAAAGAGAGATTTAAATCAGCGCCGTCCTGATGCTACTGATTCTGCAGAGAAGAGGTACCTCACTCGGGAAAGAACTGAATCATGTGCAGGGTCATATGGATGATCCTTGGAGGGAATCTCCAAGATAGCTGGCACAGGTTTGTTGTAGCTATCCACCAGAAACCGTATCATGTTTGCAATCTGAAAAGAGGGAAATGAATGCAAATGTCAGGAAGTAAATAGAGTAAGAATGATGTTTAGATGGAAACTTGGTTTCCCAGCCGAATCATTTTAAGATTAATCAAACGAAACAAAAAGGTCTCCTAATGCCCTAGACAAGGATCAATGCTTAATGCCAATATGCTATAAACCAACATGAAGTAATCATTGGCATCGATCGAGTATAATTGCCCCACTAGTGACTGAACAGTTAAAGAGGTCCATCAATTATGGCCAAGCCTGCACAAAAGCCTATCTTATGAATATCTGAAGCATCAGATGGCATCATTAACATTCACAAGATTGAGAGGGGACTCAATTATTCAGTTCTAGCAGCATCTTCTTACTTCAGTTTGTGCAAATTGTTACATGCTTCTGAGTTCTGACAAGCCTAATGCCAAGAGGAAGGTGAGTTGTGTTAAACAGTTGACAACTGACGAAAAAAGACTGTCAAGATAAACAATGAAATACATGCCTACAACATTGTAATTCTTCAAAAAGAATTGTGGGTTAAACATTCAGCTAGAAACCATTGACAACTGGACGAGTAATAATTTTCCCACGGTTTTAAACTAGTGAGGTTAAAATTAGCAAGATACAACATATTACAGTTTCAGAAAAGGGATTATAGTTCATGGACACAAACAGTATCTGTTCATGGGAACAAGTGGAGAGAAAACAACAATATTACACAAACATAGTGTTGGCATTTATGAAGACAAATAGAACGAAAATATTAAAAGAGGTAACAGAACTGAAGGTACTTTTGGAGCATGTTTGAGGAAGAGATATTTCATTTAATTGGTTATACTCCTCAAATACAACTTATTAACAGATGCAAATGATTTTGTTTTTACAAGCAATGACATATGTTAGACATCTACCTAGATAAAGGTTATGAGAATAAAACAGAAAAAAGGAATTAAAAATACTATCCAAGCATGTCTAAGGAAATATTCATTTAATTGCTTTTACTTCACATATATGGCAAAATAAACAAATGTAAACAAGATTTATTTTTTGACAAAATTACATAATTCAATAATAGGCTAATGGTGGCAAATTTTTGAAGGACATCTGAATGATCATAAAAGTAAAGGACATGGAGAGTTTCAGAGCAAAAGGATGTAACTGATACAAAAATGGAACAGGAGACATTATTTAGACTTTATTGTATCCTACAATTTTATTTTCATCGATATACTATACTAAAATAAATAAACATCTGGTTTCATCAAAGCAAGAAAAGAAGCAACTAATATCTGCTTTAACCCAGCACATTATTTTTTGAAATTTACCCAGCACATTTCACTAGGCATTGTACTAGAAAAATAAGTTCACTGTTTGTACAAGAAAACCTTTCAAAAATACTGTAGAAGTCATGTGCAAGAGATAATACCACATAAACATGTTGCCCAAGGACCTGATCGGCTAACAGTACAAACTTGAGCATAGATGAAATCATGGACAACCCTATACATGAACCATTCAGAACACTTACATATTGGCTAATCAGCACAACAGCAATGTCCTCCCTTGAGGTGAACTCTTTGAATGCATCTTCTATAGCTTTCACAGTAGTTTCTGGATCATTATCAATCATTATAGAACCATTGATTTAAGAAGACTCAAAATAAAATTTCCAGTGACAATTATTAAACAAAGATGTGTACTACTAACTACTAAGAATAAGAGGCCAAAAGCAGAATGCCTATTTACTTAATTACTATGGAAAGCAAAAAACAGAAAAAGCCTATAGAGAAAAAAAAAAGTCATAACTATTGAATTATTGAAAAGAGTATAACTCAAAAAAATGATATAACAAAAAGATTTTCATCTTAATAATCACTAACAGAATTGATATTCAAGATTAACATCAGTATTCCAAGGAAGAAAACAAACAAAAGAACACACTATGTCAAAACAAAGATATTCAAACATTATACTAGATCAAAAGACAACCTGAAATTGGGGAAAACTTTAGTCGACCATTATTTAAGTCAGGCTCAAAACATACTCATCAATAACAATGTAATAACCATTTATAGAAAATGTACAATAACAATACTTAAGTCCCAATTATTTGAGGTGAGTTAGATAGATCGTTGGGGAAAACTTTAGTCGACCATTATTTAAGTCAGGCTCAAAACATACTCATCAATAACAATGTAATAACCATTTATAGAAAATGTACAATAACATTACTTAGTCCCAATTATTTGAGGCGGGTTAGATAGATCATTGCATTGTTTAGCTTTGTCATATGCACTACAGTTCTAAATAGCATTTACAATGTATGATACATGTTCGGGATTGACACAACCAACAAGCCTTTTCCAACTGCTTGGGATTAACATTATCAGTCACTTGTCAGCTTATTATGGAGGGCATTATCTATAGCTGTTCCAACTGAAATACATTAGTCCCTAAGCTCATCTTTAGATGACCCTTGATTCTTTCCTGACTCTTAACCTTTTTCAAATCTTTCCCTCTCCCAGTAAGAGATATCTTACTAAATTCTCCACCATTTTGTTCTTATTGTTACAGCTGCCACCTGTTTACAATAATTTTTTATAATGCTTATTTTTGTCCCATCCACCTCAGTGTTGATAACTTCCAATCCATCTCCTTCCCTTGGAGCCTTTTAATTGGTAGGTTCTGTGCATTAAAACTCACATATCGGATCCATCTGTTACACACATGACACCTTATCTCAATCTCCTGATCAGAAAAGTTTATATCTATCCCTAATCAGTCAAGAATGAGGCTTGTTCCAGCACTAGTGACATTCTTTCAACTAAATCTGCATTAAACTAATTAATACAATGCCATCCAGTTATTCCCCAGAATACAAACTAGTGAGGATCTGCATTATGATATCAAATTAAACATGTAAAGTTGAACTTCTGTCAAGTACTCTTGCAAACATCTCAATTTGTTCTGCGACAAGTAAAAAGAGACACAGGTCGACAGACAA